CAAATCATCAACAGGCAGCTCCAATTATATAGCAGAATCCGAAATGTTCAAAGCCTAATATGTATACATGGGCTAATCTAATCCATGAAAATCCAAACCCTTATAATCTCTATCTTTCTACATATGTCAACATGACTAAGACCTTTGTTCTTGTTTTTCATGACAAATAATTTAGTGTCTAACCATCAAATGGTGGACCCCATTTCCAAGGACTGCGGGTTAGAGAAACTTGAATCTGGACACTTTCAACCTCGGATCAACATCTGCAGACAGGAACATATGCAATATAAACTAATTGAATAGGAACCTAGACAGTGACTTTATACCAGCATGTTTGGTGTCTGTATTACTTGAGGATTAAGATGGTCTGTCTCCAAACAGGCATAAACCTTGGGAAGATGGATTACAAGCATGAATCTGACAAATGGGACAACAAACATGAACTTTTAAGTTTAAGATATGGGATAAACATGAAAATATGTAATCTAATTAACATCATATAATTACTATGCATGTAGTTCTAAGCTAGGAAGTAATGGACGTTTACAACAGGACATAAAAAATTCCTATTTTGCAACTACAAGGGGCTCTCAACTCACATCTTGAAGGTGAGTAGTTTGAATTTTCTTAGGATCAATTTGAATAAATTTTTCGGTAATTGTCAGATGCATGTACTACGGTAATTGTATTTGCAGGTGGTGAATTATGGGGTAACGCGCTAAGAATTCTTATTATGCAACCCCAAGAAGATAACCTAATGGCAAGACTCTCTCTCTATATATATATATATCGTGGATGTTGAGAGTTCAAATTTCCTTTGAGAGTTCAAATTTCCTTAGGACTATTTCCAAGGAATTTTTCTACTAATTGCTCGGTGCACGCATGTGGGATCGAAAGAACTGCATGTTATTTTATGGTGAATTAATGATTATTATTTATTGATAGAACTGCTAACTCAAAATCAAGTGAAAGATACTTGTCTGTATTTGTTCTAGTGGTTTTGGATCTGAACTATCACTTAGGTCAAAGTTTCGAGACTGGTAGAGAAGAAAAGAAAGGCAAAAAAAAAAAATCCAGTTGAAAGATATTTACTATTTATTACATCATAAGCCAGATTTCAAATTGCCTTCGAGAGTTCAAATTCACTTAGGGCTACTTTCCAAGGAATTTTTCCCGTAACTGTTTAGTGCATGTGGGATTGGAAGAAAGAACATGTTTTTTTATGGTGAATTATAGGATGATTGTTTACTGATTATCACAGTATCACAAACTGTTAACTCAAAATCAAGTAAAAGACAATGATTTGTCTTTGTTCTAGTGGTTTTGGATCTAAACTATAAAAAAGAGAAGAAAAGAAAAGGATGGGTGGGGGTGAATTTCAAGTGAAAGATTGCTATTTTATACATCATCAGCAAGATTTAGCAAATTCAGTCAAAATTAAACTACCAAGTTGCATAATCAAAATTTGCTAATACACCAATAGCTCTTAATTAAATCTAATAAAGTGAAAGCAGCCCTACGATAAAGAGGGAAAAATGAAAACCATAACAAAATCCAGATATATCATCAATTTGACCAAAATCTAGATGTGGAGATACTAGTTAAATCTTATCCCATGCAAAGCTATTGCTCTTCTCAGTTGCTTCAGCTTGGAAATTGGGTACCTTGATATGAGGATGGCTCTCCTTTTTCTTCATCATTGCTCAACTTGTCTTGATTAATAGCTCTATCTCCTTCTAGTTCTCTATACCTATGCAAATACCTTTTCAGTGGTCCAGCATAGTCATCAAAACCCAAAGAACTCAGAGCACTGCAAACATCATCACCATTCACCGTCTTTCGCCTCTCTTTCCGGCACTTCTCAGACGCTTCACTGGTCACAAAGCTTATGAACTCAGACACACATTCTTGCATTGTCTCCTTAGCTTCCTTTGAGATTTTTGCATTGGTTGGCAAAATCTGCTTCATGATTCGCCCCACGTTGGCTATTGGTAACAAACGGTCTTGTTCCTTGATAGAACCATCATGATCACTTGAGCCTATGTTGTCAACCATTTTATTCAGAGAGGAATGAACTTGATCTTGTCAAAACATGCATACATGTGTTGGTCAAACTCCTATATATATAGACACATGCATACATGTGTATGTTACACATACATAATCATCACATGTTGTTGTTGTTGATTATGGTATGTGATGGTGCACGCATGCCAACCAGGTCGGCATCAATGGTGGGGTCATTAAGGTCATGGTGAATCCATTAGGCTCAAATTCGTGATTTGGCTTCATCTGCATGCAACAATTGATGCTGACAAGGTTCTGTGGGCAAAGTTGGACACCCTAAAACTCCAAAATACGAGTCAATTCAATGAATTTACAGCCTTGGATCTCTTGAATTTACCAATGAAACTAGGCTAAGCGTGTTCCAAATTAAATTAAAAAATTTTAAAGGCATCATTTGGTGGGGTGGATGTGGATCCAACCAAGCACTACCTTAAAAAACGCTAATTAATATTGTAATGTATCATTTACTTATGATTATGTCATTCTATATGACAGCAATTTTAACCACAACTTTGGACTCGGTGCATCCATAAGAGGCCCTTTAAGGCCAGGGTTAGCTAACTGTATATATATATATATATATGAGTTCCCATGTTGTTGGAACATCAACCATTTTCTTAGACCTTGGCAGTTTGACAAGCACAGATCTACAGTTAATGAGGATAAAAAATTTCTATTGTTATTATTATTATTATTTATTAATTGTTCTTTTTCTTTGTGGTAGAGTTGTTGGTGAAGTCAATTTTAAAAACTTATGTTATGGTTATGACTCCTTCATTTTATCTTATTGTCTTAGCTAAACAGGCATATTCTGAACGTCAATGCACGTAGCCTTATCTTTATGTACGATTTTTTTTTTTTTTTTTAACTCGTGACTTCCAAATTACAATTAAAAAAACCTTATCGTATAGTTAAGGTTAACCTATCTTATTGTTTTAACTATATAACCATTTTAAAATTTTTATTATTGATATAAATCCCTCAATATTATCCATTCATTGTTTTAGTTTCTGCAAAACATGCAACTAGAGCATCTATGAATAACATTAAAAGGAATGACTCGCCGAATTTTTTTTTTTTTTTATAACTTACCAAAAAAAATATAGATATATTAAAACGAAATCCTAAGTCAACTAACAGCTAAAACTTAGTTGTAATCTGGGTTCATGGAATCATGCCATTTGTGCTAAAACTGTGTTTTCTCTGTCTCTCTCTCTCTCTCTCTCTCTCCAGCTGTTGAAAGTCAGAACCAATGTTCCTTCTTTTATTTTTATTATCCACATTTGATTCTAATTTTTTATAAGAAGACAGTTGGATTTTTAATATTTAACTCTCCACATCCCTTAATTTTTCCATGATTATTCATACATGTGGTGATAGTTGCAATTTGGGAAACAATATTAATCCTGTTTTCTTTCATTTATTTATTTAGATATGTGTCCAAAGATTGTCAGACTAAACAATCTCATTGGCTTGAGATTTCATTTATTAATCAAATAAGAACAAAAGAAAGTACGTACATAATTATATTCCCAATGAACTTGCCTCTAAAGCATATTTTATTAAGATTTATCTACTTTTGGATTGGAGGTTTACAAATAAAACAATAACAGCTCATTGAACCATCCTTGGTTTTGACTATAATATTAGAGATTCCATCCAAGATATACCTTTAAATAAATGTTTTGAGCAAGTAGATATGTATGTTTGGTTGTCTTGTTTCTATGTTATGTACCTTTCAATGTGTAATTACATAGAGAATTTAGTAAGATAGTAAAAAAAACAAGACTAGCTTTAAGTACGTACATTTGCAATAATAATTAAAAAAAAAAAACTCTCTAAAAGTCTTTAAAATATTTTGAGAATCTTGAGAATATTCTGTGGTCTCCTCTTCATCATATTTTTGAAAGATTCCAACCCTTCACTTCCTTCTTTTGTATGATATATTTATCTGGATCCAATTCTTCAAAATCTACTTTGATATAAATAATTTGGATTGCCCTGCAGCTTTGGACTATATCATTTTCTATGTACCACTCTTTAATTTTTTTTTTTTTTTTATTGTTTTATTTTTTTTATAGTAATCCATTGTGCCATTTTTTATATTAGATAATTTCTCTCAAAGTTTACTCTCCACAGTAAACCTAACCAAATCCTTCATTCAAGTAAGTTTGTTAGGACTTTATTCAATTTATAGTAATCAAGTAGTTATCTCATGCTCATAAAACCTTGTACATCACTCTTTACTTTCTTCTCTTTTCCTTTAAATGACATATATATATATATATATATATATATATATATATATATATATATATATATATATATATATATTGCTACATAAATAATGAACCTAAATAACAATTATAACCATTTGATATTTTGATATATATTAACTAACCATCAAACATAAATGTCTAGATATTACATTAACAACCACTGGTAAATGATTCATAACTGTTGTTTCATTAGTTGTATTGTTATCATGATGTCTTAAATCACAATATTCTTGGTTCTTGTTGATGCAAAAGTGCATGCATATATATATATATTACAATTGTGGTATGAAGGAGGGTAGAAATAAGCATAAATAAAATGCAGAGTGATATTTGTACTATAACAATATCTTATGAAACTTATCATTCAAAAAAAATATATATCTTATGAAACTTGCTTCACTTGTATAAAAAATAAAAAAATAAAAAAAAGTTCTGAAACCGCGTATTAATTAAAAAGGTTTATGACCTTGTTATTCATAGAGAATTTTACGCTATCTGTAGAGTGTGTAACATTATTCACCCAATTTGACACACAATCAACATTATTGGCTTCAAACTGAAATCATAGATTATTTATGTACACTTGCATGTGACTATCTAGCCTTGTTAATGTCATTAGGACTTTATGAGTGGACTTGATCGATCAGGTGTCATTCATATCTCAAAAACATGAGCCATGAACTTCTTCATCTTCTCTTTCTCAAGCCCCATCCACATATTAATCCCTCCCTCATCAGTTCCATCAGAAAGCAGCAAAACAAACTCATCATTCCCACTCACAACTGGTCCACAGTGCACAGGTTTCCCGAAGCCGAAATCGAGATCACGAAAATGCAGCTTCCACCAAGCTGACACATAGAAAGTCCCATTACAAGTTGCAGGAATGCCTTTGTACACCTCCAACCAATCTATCACTGACCTCACGTACTCATCTGTCACTCTCTCCGTCGCTTCCTTCACCTTCTCAACACAGAAGCACAAAGGTTTCTCAACCACATCGCTCACTTTCGCGGTGGCAAACGCTGTGATCACAGCATTACCTGTGAATGCACTTGGCAATGGTGGTGAGACTCTTGACCTTATGTCCACTGCAAAGAGAACAGTTGAAAACTCGTCCAAGTTTTCAAACACTGCCTTTGTTCTTGCTTTCCAAAGGTGAGCCACAATGGCTTCGAAGCTCGAGCACTTGATCATTGCTTTCTCTTTGAGTGACTTGATCATTGCTTTCTCTTTGAGTGACTTGATCATTTCAGGAGTGAATGGGAAGAGTTTGTGAGCATACTTCTCTAAAAATATTAGAGGGGATGGGGATGTTTTGTTTTTTGAGGAGAATGATGAAGCTAGAGATGAAATTTTTTTGAGCTTTACATATTCCTTGTGTGGGTATTTTATCTGAGGTGGATTTCTTGCTCTGAACAATGTTCTGTCATTGTTGATGACTTTGGCTTTTAGTCCATCACCTCTGCAAATTGAGGCAAGGTTGTGGAACATATCACTAGCTGATTTCCCATCAAGTACACCATGATTTGTCGCGAACCCAAGAGCAAATCCACCACATTTGAACCTTGTCACCTGTGATATCGACACAGAAGAAAAAAGAAAAGAATTATTGGTAATAGTACTAAAATAAAAGAGTAAAACTGTCAATTTACACAATTTGCTAAACGGTGTTTAGCTGACATACTCTGACAAAGTTGTCAAAGTTATTTTTTCAAAAGTTTCATTTGGAAAAGTGATCATGGGTTAACCTAGTGTCACAAGGCTTCTGTCATAAAAGGGTAAAAATATCAATTTACACAATCTGTTGAGCGGTGTTTAGATGACATACTCTGACAAAGGTGTCAAAGTTATTTTTTCAAAAGTATCATTTGGAAAAGTGATCTAAGGTTAACTTAGTGTCACGAGACTTCAGTCATTGTAAGATCTGAGATGGTCAAATGTAATATGTTATCTTTAACGCTGCAAATTTATCATCTGGGTAATTAAATTTTTGTGTGAAAAAATAAGTTGGGCTTACCTGAATTGTGAAAAGTGCTGTTTCTGCTAGACTTTTGTATAAACCAGGCCGATGAATGAAATGACGAAACGTGTAATTCGGGGCAGAGAGATTGCCAAGATCCTTCAAAGTGAGCCTTGAAGTTGCACTCACAAAGAGAACTCCAGCATTGTTGCATAGAAGCTCAAACCTGTTGGCTTCATGATTGAAGTCAAGCCTACCAGCCAAGAAATAGTAAGGAACCAAAAGCACTTCAGCCACTGCTTTCTTGACAGAATCAGAAATGCCAAGTGTTGAAGTGCTTTTTGTTGGAGGGAGTTCATAAAAGGAGAGTGTTTCAACAGAGAAAATCACTGCTTGATCAATGTTTGATAGAAAAATGGTTTCTAGTGGTGGTGTTGGAGTGTTTGGAGAGAAGAGTTTTATTGGTTCCTCCTTTACTACATCATCTTTTGTTAAGTGAGTTGTAGTAATATCCATAGTGATAACAGTATGATAGTGTGTGTGTGTGTGTGTTGTTGAGTTTGATATGATATATATAGTGTGAGTACTGAGTAGTGATGATGATGTGTGGGGAAAGCATGAGTGGGGATGTATGGTGTGGCTTGATATTGATTGGGCCAAGAAGGTTTATTTAATGGTGAAACAAGTGCACATTCACCATTCATGGCTTCTAAAATGGAGGCATGACATTGTTGTTTCTTTCTTCATCTGTGAGACACTCAAGGCATTAACAGATATGCGCACACGCATGCATGCAGAGAAATAAATGGATTGGATTTTGATCTGTATCCTATTTGAATCCAACTCGATATTTCGGATATGGATAGTAACATAATCCATTAACATTTTGAATTTAATATTTCATTAACTAAAGAAATCAAATATGAATTATAGTTAATTCGATTCAATAATAATCTCATTTGATATAATATAAGATATAATATTATATTATCTAATACTACAATATACAATATTTATATATTATTAAAATATTTTTTATCACCAAAGTTGTTGGTGGGTTCAAATCCTCATACTGGTAAATGGGTACAGGTGTGTTAGTTTCTTGTCAAAGAAAAAAAAAAAAAAATTATCAACAATTTTTTTGTCTTTCTTCTTCCTTCTCCCAATTTTATATCTGTTTATTGGTTTTTTAAAAAAAAAAACAAGAGGTCAAATACATCATTTTCTACTATCTTTTTTGTTTATATAATTTTTTCCCGAATTCTCTCTTTTTTCTTAATCATTGTTTGTTAATTTTTTTTTTTCATTAATTTTTTAATTAAATAATATACTTTCAGATCGAATATTTAATTAATAACAATTATGATATGAATTTAATCTTAAATAATCCGTCGACTTATTAAATTCGGATCAGATCAAGCCTGGTCCAAAACTGATCCATTTATAGGCCGAGATCTGGGGCACCAAACAAATGGGCTTGCACAGAGAGAGAGGCGTTAATCTGGGCCGCGAAACTAATGGGCTTGCAGTTAAATATATTGATGCAAAGATGAATACATTCTTGGTTATCACAGCTTCTATTGGGCTTTTCATCTTTTGGATTTGATATTAGAAACATTCTTGGGCGTATCCGTTTATGGGTCTGGGTTAACTACAGTCTCTCTCTCTCACTCCATAAGCAGAAGCCCATTTCACTTGGTTTCAACTTTCGACCAAATAGGGTAAGGCCCAATCTGTTACCGTTTGTCTAAATTGAATCTGGGCAGAATAGGAACTTCTTAAGATTTATTGGGCTTCTTGAATGATCAACACATTAATGGAGAAGGAGACAGTTGAGGATAGTGGATTTGCGGTAGATTTATCTTTTTATAATGAAAAATGATGATATTCAGGTCCAACAATTTAGTCCAAGTGTTGGATCCAGAGCATCCCAATCAATGGGACATAAGATCATTCGTTTGGTTGGGGTCCAAAACTTCCGCTAACTATAAACTTTATTATTGTGCAAGTGTTGTGTTATTCGGCTGATTTGGTTGATTTCTTTGTTTAGGAGTTTGTATTCGAGCCTTATACTCGCTCCTTCTCCTTTAACAATTAACCCCTAAAACAAAATAATAAATAAAATTAATGCCTCGTGATCTATATCACCTCTAGCAAAAATGGTACATAATAACAATAGCAACCGGACAAATTATTAGACAATCTTGCCTATTGATACTTAGTATACCAATTCAATTTAGACACTCCGATATGGCCACATAAAGAGTATATTAATATATATATTATAAAAAAAAATTCAACGAAGGTGACCAACAGACCAGTACGAGGCCCCTACTTCCCAAAAGCACCATGTTTTCAGGCACGGGTATGTGAAGGGATAAGTGGTGGGCGACACTGAAATTTTTTATTATTGCATTTTATATCCCTAAATGTATACTTTTTTCCATTTATACTCATAAAATTTTGAAATTGCTCCCACTAAAATTATGAAAAAAAATTCTTCTATATAAATTTGTCCCCCCTCATATGAATTCCTAGATCTGTCCCTATTATATTATTCTCTTTATGCTATTAGTCTTTAAAAAAAAAAAAAAAAAAAAATACATTTTGGTCAACTGCTGGAACAAAACAAGTGGCATAATAAACTTCATAAGAAGACCTGTCATTCTAAACTTCCAAGCAATTGCCATTTTGAAAACGTCAATAGTATATACTAAAAGTCTATTGTAGACATTCCAATTTCTATTGTATTTCTTTTCTTTTCTTTTCTTTCTATTGTAATTGATCTTTGTACTAATATGACTATTTTATATTTTTTTACTCATAAGTCATAACATATTTTATTAATACATCGCGTAGGCCTAACCCTATTCCTAACCTCCAATGGACTGATCCAAATTAGCAAAGTTAGTGGACAAAGAATTTGTAGTCGAAAACTTTAACCATTCACACAAATATTCGTTTAGTAAAAGTAAAGTAAAGCATTCACTATTTAATGTAATTAGTGTTGAAATTATATTTTATTGAGTTTATACGTGTATTCAAAATTTTATGATTAAAGTGTCTTTGTTTTAATTAGAATGTGTTAATAATCGAATTTGAATCTTAACTTTTTGCTCCAATATGTAATGAACGACGTGCACATAGAGCAAAAAGGTGAGAGTGCAAATAAAGTTAAATGGAAATGTCATTAAATAACAGGAGAAAATTAGTGCCGTTTGATAACTACAGTTGCTTTATGTTTTTGCTTTGACTCGAAACAGAAGTGTTTTTGCTTTAACCCGAAATAGAAGCAATGTTTCTGTTTTAGAGTATGTTCAACACTATTTCAAAACTTGTTTGGTAACGTAAATTTGTTACAAGATTTTTAGAAACAAAAACGTGAAAGCATTTTTGGTAAAAAGTGTTGCAAATTTGAATGGTTAGTTAAAAATATTATTATTATTATTATTATTTTTTAAACAGTGCTTTGTTACCGTTTAAAAGTAAACAAAAATATTATTTTGATACTTTCGATTTTGGCTTTAATTTTGGAAGCGCTTCGGTATTATTCAAATAGCAACAAATGTTACCAAACATACTTCGTACTTTTGCTTTGTTACAATATACTAGCAAAAGCAAAAAAACACGAAACAAAGGCATTAACCAAATTAATTATACCTTAATTTGTTTAACTTAAAAAAGAAAATAACTATAAAGTTTGTTAATAAAATTTATTCCCCTCACATGTAAAATCTATAGACGTTTGAATATAACCTATATAAAAACTTAATTTATTAATAGGCTTTCAAATAAATAAATCTAAAAGTTTGTCCCTGACTCCCTAAGGATGATGGAAAAGCAAAAAGGAAGGAAATGTAATAATTTATCTTGTTTGGAAATTACAGAAGAGACTATATATAGATTATGAGAATGTTATAATGTCTCCAAGTATGACTCTATGAGAGTTTAAAAAGTTTCCAAAATAAAATATAAAAAAATATAATTATGAAGAAGCATAAAAGTATATTACGTATTACTTATCATAAGAACGTACAAGGATGAAATGGCAAATTACTTTTTATTTTTCTTTCCTTTTCTGTTTTATTTATTTATTTATTTATTATAGTAAAGAAAATACCTATATATATATATATATTTATGGAGTGACTTAGAAACTGGAGTCACAGGACTGGAAATTGCTGAAACATATATGACACTTTTGGCTGCTGCCCAATTCAAAGAAAGATACTTTTTTTATGGTCAATGTGATAACATGGTTATAGTTAAAAAGGTGAAATCTCCCTGTACACTATTTTATTATATATTTTATAATTGTTTAATTTGACCAACGAACTTTTACTCTAAAATTAAACAACAATTAATCATTCTATCAAAATCAAATGCACTTAGTTGGTGGCTTCACCTTTCCATTTACAAGGTTATAAGGACTGTAGCTGACTCCAAGCAAATTTTAAATTCAATAGTAAGCTTGTGTGGGCATAGCTAAACGATCTTAATTTGGATTTTTTTTTTTTTAGTTTTTTCGAGATATATAATTATGCATTTCAATAAATGTTTTTGACACTTATGTTTTTGTGAACCATAATTCTCTTACGTGTCATAATTCTATGGATGCAACAACTATGTAAATATATTAAATTCTCGTTGTAATTACGTAGCATTGTTATATAACTATAGTACACTGTGATGCAAGTATGTTACACTCGTGCACATGATCTCAACAAAGGAAGGAATTAGTGATACAAGTGTTAAAATGAGGTATACAAACAACCTATAAATAAAATTTCAAGCAAGCAAACGAGGAGTCGAGGAGTTTAACAATATTCAAGAAGAGTGCTCTTGATCTTTTCTTTATTTAAGGCTTAAAATGTGTTTTCTCCTGTAGAATCTTATCTCATGTTGAGATTCCATTCCATATGAAATGATTTTCGTATCCATCGAGAAAAATTTGACTGCGCCCACCATTCTTTACAGAGTGTATAATACACGCACCGTGCATGTTTTACATGAACAATTCAAAGACGCCCGTTGCACTTTTTTTTTCCTTGTACATCGACTGTGTTAAGCATGGAAGAAGATTCGGGTTCTTCCCTTCCCTCATTAGTTTCAGTTTCATGATTCACATAATCTCACCATTATTAATAGTTCAATTGAACTCGAGTTGACTTGTTTGGGCTAGTCAATAAGAGCTCTGTAATAACTTGTTTTAAACGTCTTAAACTACATGAACTGAAATAGCTTTTGGCACCTGTTTTTAGTCCCACTCAAAGTTTAAACTTGACCTCAAATGAAATCTAATTAGGATCCAGCCTATTTCTGTTAAGGGCATTCTATGAAAATGTATTTGGTATGCTCAGTCCACCAAAGATAAATTTTATCCAAATTGAATGGATGCATGAAGCGTATTTTATATTTATTTCATTGTTAGATGTCAAATTGGTAGATATTTTCACTCTCCAAACTATGGTTCTAGATATATGTGAAAATTTTCCAACTCATTTTAAAAATTAGAACTTTAGAACCACCCAATACAAATCCAACGTGAATTACTTCATGAAAATGGTAAAATTGAACCCGATTTTGGTTTTGGAAAGTACTCGAGGGTTTTCGTTCCTCACTGCACATGTGTGTATATATACGATAATATATATATATATATATATATATATATAGAATATATTTGATCCAAGATAATTTTAGAAACAATATTTATAAGAAAATAATCCTCAGGGGTAATGCGGTCATTAAAAAAGAGTTGCTTTCTGGACGCGCGTTTAGTGCTTGTAATTCCACACAGAAAAGCTAAGACCTTTTGTACCTTCAGGCATAAACCAATAACATAATGCCAACTCAATACAAGGACAAGGAGTAGGGGTAATAATGTAATAATAATTTGACGTGTTCAGATTTAAATCACTAGTACCTCAAGTTCACACAAGTGTTATGTACTGGATCATTTTTTACTTTTCTATCATCAAAGCATCTCACGTGCCACGTTTAATATATGCAAATGCGTGCTCTCACGCGCCTTCACTGAGCGTACAAATTTCCTTTTCCGTCCTTTAAACGGACCACACCCTCCCCTCTCTCTCTCACTTTCTCTCTCTAAAACTCGTATTTTTATACTTTTCCCTCAAACCCACATAGCATCTCTCTCTCTCTCTAAGAAGCGATTAGCGAGAGTCTTTCGTTTTTCCTCTCCTGGGCTCGTCCTCTGACTCTTCTACGAATTCAACCTTGGTAGCCCATGAAACCACAACTCTCTTAGACCAGGTACAGCCTTTTATCAGTACATGTATATGTATATATATCTGTATATCTATACGTACATAAAGTTCTTGTTCTTATGTTCACGTTTTGTTTGTTTTGCATCTATAACTTGTTAATCGACTCAGCCGAGTAGACCCATTTCCTCAGGTACGATTCTCCACGTGGGTTTTGAAGTTCTGGTGCTTCCATGGAGGTTAGTAAATTATCTGTCTCGTTTTATATATATTATTATATATATGCAATATATATTTTGCTTTGCTTGTGGCACGGTTTAATCTAGTTGTCTCTGTGTTTATGTGGTTTTTAGTGTCTATATAAGTTAATTTGCTGAGATCACATTAAAATTCTTACTACGAACGGTGGTTTGTGTTATCTTCGTTTTTAGTTTATTTTTATTCAATTATTTTGTTTCTTTCTGGGAAGAGTTTGAAATTTGAATGTGGTTTGTTTGGTAGGAATTATATTTAGTTTGGTATTGTTAGATTAATGTACTCGTTGGGTTCTTTTATTTTTCATGTTAAAGTTTTAGTTTTGTAACTGGGGTTGGTTCTATGTCAAAATTGGATCTGTAGATTGGTATTTTTAATGGGTTCGTGGATAATGCTCTGTTTGTATGTATTTCTTGTAGATGTTGGTTATTTTCAAGCTTCTTTTGTTGGTATTATGTCAATATTTGTGTTTGGTTTTCTTAATGTACTGCTTTGAGCATTTCGTCGATTGTTTGGGAAATTTATTTTTCCCCTACCCCAACCCTTTTTCTTTGTTTCCGTCAATACTTTGTCTTTTTGTTCTTCTAAATGTTTTGCTGAATATTTTCTAAATTATGGGTAATTTTAATGAAGAGTTTGGTTATTAAATCTGTTGTGTTTATTTTATTTTTATTTACCTCTCTCTTGCCGAGGTTTCATTTTACTTATCCCGGTATCTTGATTACTTATTGTTTATTGATTTGAATCTACCTTCTTATGGGAACAAAAAAAAATTAAGTTGTCCAGCACCCAATTCAAATAGATTTTTTGCTTCCAAACCTGTACTATTAATTTAAACTTAATTCTTGACAAATGAAGTATTATGTTTCTTTTTCTTACTTGTATCTTTACCTTGTGCTTGTTTTAGAAGTGTTTGTTATAATTTAGGTTTTTGTAAGTCCTTTGTTTACTTTCTTGTTGGCGACGTCTTCAAGCTAATGAGATGAAACACAGTCTTTTAGACTTCATATGCTGCCTGATTTTTTAATTTCAAACTTGATTCACCTGTTGGCAACAAGATGTCTGTGGTAAACAGTTCCATGCATGCACCATCAATTCCTTTGCCGAGTACTTTCTTTTTTAAAATTCAAATGTTTAGTGTTAATTAATTGGCAGATTCACACAAAGCCACAAAGGTTCCAGCTAGGTTAATTTTGCTTGAGCAATTATTTGATCTACAATAGTTGTAAACTGTACTGATTCATGTTTACATATTGAAAAGTTCTGTTTGATTTCTTTGCCAGATGGATTTAGTTCAACTGAATCACAATGTGGATTGTATTGAAGACACGTCAGCTGAGCAGTTACTTTCTCCAGTCGCCTCTGATGCATACAATGTCTTTGGAGATCCAGAGATGTTTCCTCGAGTTGGAGATCAATATCAAGTTGAAGTTCCATCACTAATCACAGAATCTGAATATCTTTCTTATATGAGGAACCCAACTGATGCAGAAATCATTTCTGTTGTTCCTCGTGACTTTCTAATGGGATTACCTATGCCAATAATGTGGATCAATATGGAAGTTGAAAACGTGAAATGTGAGATGGTAAAATCGTCTGGTTATTCCAGTGACGATTCCAATAAAAACGGATCCTTAAGATCTGAGAGCATGAGTGAGACCGAAACCAATGTAAAAGATGAAGATTCAAAACTTAAAGTTGAGTCCTCGGGAATTGCATTGCACTATGGGATAGGAGTAGGAGAATCGACATACTTAGCTTTGGAACAAGAAGTGAGAAGCAAAATGCATCAGAAGTGCAGAGGTCCAGGTTACTGTTTAGTTCCTGGTTCCTTGGGTGATTCATGGAGTGATATTGAAGAGGCTGGTTTCCTCCTTGGTTTATATATCTTTGGGAAGAACCTTGTTCAGGTGAAGAAATTTATTGAGAGTAAAAAGATGGGAGATGTACTGTCATTCTATTATGGGAAGTTTTATAGATCTGATGGATACTGTAGATGGTCAGACTGCCGGAAGATGAGAAGCAGAAGGTGTGTATATGGGCAGAGGATTTTTACTGGATTGAGGCAGCAGGAATTGTTATCTCGTTTGCTTCCCCATTTGTCAGAAGGATGCCAAAATACATTGTTGGAGGTACTCATGAAGTACTCTAGATATCTTTATTCTTCTTGTTCTTCTAGAGCTCATCAAATTAGGATACTTGAATAATTTGTTTATCGAATCAAACTATTATGCATGTGTGCACGTCTGAAAATGCACTCCTAATCAATTTTTATTTTTATTATTTTTTATATTTTAAAATCAGATGAACTAAAATTTTGATTTCCCTATACTTTATAGCATATTTTCTCTCTGATTTTGTTTTGTTTGTTAATAAACTTTGCAAGAGTTGCATACTTTGTATTGTGAATTTGTTCAGCAGTTTCTTAAAATGTAAACTAAGAAAAGTATTTAAATTATTTCACTTATCTCCACTTCTGTAATAGTTAAAAACTCTCTGTAATTGTTCTAAAGTTTTGTCTTGTATACTAATTAGTGGAATAGTCAACTGAAGGGAAACGTCCCTTGAAGAAAGTATGTGTTAACACTAGTCTGATGTCTTGGATTTTAGTTGCTCATCATTTAACCAGGTTGATGAGGCTGTTTCAGTATCTGTTCTATGTATTTGAATTCTCTTGCAGAGTTTAGGCAATAATAGTAAGCTATCAGGATTTGATTGATACTGGAAGTTTATCTCATTTTCTCCTTGGATGTAAATACACTGAAACATTTGAATGTTGCTTTGTTCTATGCTCATTGATTACTGTTACTTCTTTTATTTGTTTGTTAGAAGTGTTTGTTTACATAAATTTCTCTTATTTCATTTTTTCCACTCTCATCTTGATAAAAGTTTTATATTCACACAGCTGCAATTAATATTTATTTTCTTTTATTTATATTTTCTAATTATCAAAGAAGCTTGGTCTTCTAAACAAAGCCTTTTCTCAACTACTTGGTTGGCAATCCAGAAACCTATTTTTCCATTCTGCTACTTATTCTCCATTCCCTTTGTATTAAATGGGGCATTTATAATCGCGGGATGATTTTCCAAGGAGCTCCTGTAGGAGATGAATTGATCAGTAGCAGAGAGTTGCTGCAAGATTTCTTTAATATTGCTACTCGATTTTTATATTGTTTTGAAGTAATTACTCTTGAAAGAGCACCTAAACTTCCAATATGATATTTCTCTAGATGAAACTACTTTTTTCTATTCTATACGGTGCCACTAACAAAGATATCCCTTAGTAATCTTGCACTATGTTTTCCCTAAATGCCTAACTTGCATCCCAAGTTTAAGTTTACTGCAGTATCAGGCCATCAGCTACTCTGTATGCTTCTTGGTAGTTATGATTTACTTCTAATCAACTCTCATTTCTATGGAATTGAGTAAATGTTACCATTTTTCTCGACATGATGACTATTGTTAGATGCTTCATTTCGGTAAGAAATTAACAAATCTACTTATTATTTTGATTTGCTTGATTAAGGGTTTTTCTGGATGAGAATGACTTTTGGATGTGGAATTGGAAATGAGCCTTTAAAGATTTCTGTAAATGGCAGATTAGGAAATGACATAAGACAATTCCATTATGTAAGGGAGGTTTTATTCAGTTCCTCACCCAATAGATTTAATTATTTGCCAAAAAAATGAGAAAGACAACAAAATTCTGTTAGGGAGGAATTACAAAGAAGTTTAATAGGGCAAAAGTGATGTGTATGATTTGGTTTTTTCATTAGAGTACCATGAATGCAGGTGACTAGTATGACATCAAAATACTTTACCAACCAAGCCGGTGTCTTATTTCATTGAGCCAAATCTAATAATCCATGATTAGTTAGATATAGACATAAAGACATGGTTTGTAATAGATAGAGTGGAAGTAGAGAATTTGTGAGGTCAATCCCATTCGAAAGGGACCAAGGAAAGGATGGCGATGATGAGATATGATGTTAAGGGGAAAATGTAATCCAGTAAGAAACAAGATAGATATTGCACCATAACCAGTTCCAGATGAGATTTTGAAGAAGAATGAAAATCAGTTCAAATTGAGAAAGAACCTATTTAGGGTCACATTTTAAAGATAGTAATGCACACTGGAACATGTAGTGCACTACACCAAGTAGGAGGCGCTGAAAATATATATTTACTCTAAACTAAATCTGGAAGCACAAAGAATTACATGGATTGTGATCATTAGAATAGGGCAAAGGAATGCATATTATTCCTCTTCTGGTTCTGGTTGCATGTTAAATTCATTAATTACATGTTTAGGTTCAAAAAGATACATCAAGATCTTGGAATGAATGCATCAAGATTATTAAAGGGGTATACAAAATGCTGATTGTTTGGAGAAATGAGTTTTTGCTGCCAGTGTTGCTTTTTGTCGATTAACTTTGTCTCTCATCAGATCATTCCATGGTTCATTTTATCATTTTGCCAGCCAGTTCCAGTCTGGGCATCCTGTGTATATTCTGTTGGAGAACAAAATATTAGAATTACTTTTGGTCAAAAAAATATTGTGATTGGCATGGTTTCTGATTTTATTCAATTTTTTTGTTAGCCCATCCTTTTCAAACTGGTGGTCCTTAGACCAGTCTTATCAATATTTCAAGTTGTAAAGTTCTTATATTTTGCTATCATTTACTGTTTCCATGAGTTCCTATATGTGAAGGCTGCTGCAAAATCCTTCAACTAATTTGTTACAGAATTTCAGAATGAGGCCATTGATTCAGGGATTATTGTGCTGCTAAATGTTTTTTTTGTTCTGTATCTCAGAAACATATTCCCTAATCACCTATAATTTTGATCCAACTGGCAGGTCTCTAAGACATTTGGAGAGGGGAAAATTTCATTGGAAGAATATGTCTCCACTTTAAAAGCTATGGTCGGGATGAAAAATATTGTAGAGGCGGTGGGAATTGGTAAAGGAAAGCAAGACCTCACAGGTTTCGCCATGGAGCCTCCCAAGTCCAATCATGCCATCTCGGCACGCCCAGAGATTCCAATTGGGAAAGCATGCTCTTCTCTTACACCTGGGGAAATTATCAAGTTTCTAACTGGAGATTTTCGGTTGAGCAAAGCTCGATCAAATGATTTGTTTTGGGAAGCAGTTTGGCCCCGTCTGCTAGCAAGAGGATGGCACTCAGAGCAGCCTAAGAACCAGGGCTATGCCGCTGGTTCCAAGCATTCTTTGGTCTTTCTAGTGCCTGGTGTTAAAAAGTTCTCAAGAAGGAGACTAGTGAAAGGAAACCACTATTTTGATTCTGTTAGTGATGTCTTGAGTAAAGTTGCTTCAGACCCAGGACTCCTTGAGCTCGACAATGAAGCAGATGAAGCCAACAGAAACAAGGAAGAATGTGTCTGGACCACTGAAACAAAATTGGAACAAGATGATTTGTCTAATCGGCAGCGTCATTGTTATCTTCAGCCACGAACTCCAAATCGCAATATTGATGATCTCATGAAATTTACTGTAGTGGATACAAGCCTGGCTGATGGGAAAACATTCAAGGTAAGGGAATTAAGACCTTTGCCTGTCAGTGTTTCTAAAGTGATCTCGTCTAGAATTCCTTCTGAAGAAAGTGATGGGGATACTTCTGAGATGTCAACTGACGAATCGGACTATGGTGATACCTTCTCATTTGATCAAAAGGGGACTAATAATTCCAAACCCACAAAGTTTATATCTGATATGGGAATATTTTCTGATGGGAAAAATCTTGAATTTGGTGCTTCAAACCAAGAAGTTCCAATTAATGGTCCAGAATCTACAAATGCACCTTTGAAAAATTCCAAGGACCACAAGTGTGAAGAGAAGCAGCCAAGAAAGGCTGCAAAGTGCAACGTAAGTCGGAAGCTGAAACAAGAGAGCTTAAATTATTTAGCCCCGGTCACAAAACGTCGTCGGAGATTAAGTGCTTGTAGCCGTGCAGAGACAAACCATGGTACGGTCAGTTTCTCGGTCAGCACCGGATTGGAGCAAGAGAAGCGGAGTTGCTGCTCAGACACTCCAGAATCAAGTGAGACCAATTTCTCAGAGATGGGTTCATCTCAGAAGAGAATGTCATCAACCAGTTCATCTAAAGGCAGCCCTATTGATTGCAGTGAAACCAATTTTAATGTGGAACATCCTTATGAGAAACCTCAATCCGTGACACTGATTGACCTGAATTTGCCTCACGTCACACCAGATTTTGAAACTGGTGAAATCTTCATGATGGAGTCAAGAGAAGGACAAGATGATCAGACAAGCAAGAAGCCTGATGATTCTGACGCACTAAAAACCTCAATGGGTATGGCTAGTTGTGAGCAGCAGTCTAACATGAACTCTCGGCGGCAGAGCACGAGAGTCCGGCCACCAACAGCAAGGGCGTTGGAAGCTCTTGCAAGTGGGTTCTTAACCATAAATCGGAGGCAGAAGAGGGAAAAGACTAATCCACGAGAGAACTTGACATCAAGATCTCGACGTGCACGCAGTGGGGTAGGCATTGCCGATAATTTGGGTATCGCTACTGCAGCTTCTAAGGTAGGAGAATCTGAAAATGGTGTGTTATCATTGGTAGGAGAGTCTGAAAATGGTGTGTGTAATGATAACGACGACATCATCAGCAAATTTCAGGATCTATCTGAGGGAAGGGCTCAAGTTTCAGGCCTCTAAGTTGGTGAGATGATAAGCTCTAAACTTTTTTGTGGAGGAAGAATATGACTTATACCAGCATTGGTTTTACTGTACACTAGCAGGAGCGCTATGGTCTTGTTACAACTGTGAAAGAGCTCTTGTTGTATCTCTGTTTGCAGCCTCAACAACCCATGATATTCAGAGGGCATAGCAATATCTTTTACACTTCTAAATGCTGGTCACTGAAACACAAACGGGTAACATAGACATCTTGCTTAGATGCTAATTTCGTCAATTAAAAGCACGGCCAGCTGTGACATTCTGATGATTGGAAACAAAAGATGATGAAATTTTGCTCCTGTCAAATTTTAGTTAAAGATCATTTGATGGGACAAAAGATTATTCTTTGGTGAACACTTTGGAGTGTCTGATCACATTTATCTGTTCTTTTACTGAGGTCTGAGGTTGGATTGGGGAAAGTTACGGCAACTGTCTTGATTAACATTTAGGTGGCCATTTCTGTTGCTCTCATTCTGATCAAGTTTATCCGACGACTATGCTGCTACATTAACAAGTGAGTCCATTATAGCCCGGTTTTGGTGGATGCAGTCTCTTTTAGTATTCTGTAACACAGGGAATCAAAATTTCGGTGATTGCCAAAAGAGAAGGCATGAATTCTTGCAATCTTGTTGGCAATAAAACCTGATGTTACTGTTACTTGTTTCACTTTCGAATCTTCAGCTTCAATAAGAAAAGTGATATACAATATATCGTTACTGATTTCGTTTTGAATTCCCATATAGAGAGCAATCAACAATTCCTGTGGAATGGAAAAAACTTTTTTTTTTTCCGAAGAGTTGGTATTTATCAAATTATTGGTTCTGTTTTGTGCATTTCATGAGTTGGTATTTATAAAAAATACGTCACTTCTACATTGTTGTTGCATTCTTTATTTATTTAATGTTATTGCGTAGTGTTGCATTCTTGAAATTCTTTTTTGAGATGGAAAATGGTATAATATGATAAAAAATGATATAATTGTCAATTAGGCGTTGGTACGGACTAATGTGACAATTATTAAGATAAACACTAAAAATGAGAGAGTATTCTTATCCATTGTTGTTGTTGACAGAGTGTCTTTGTTGGACTCTGTTCATTGGAGTTGCATCACATCCATTTTTATATCATTACTCAACTTGATATATCTGCGCATCTTGTGATTGCAGCTAATAAAGTTTCCGATATCATGTCATCCCATCCTCACTTACTTAGGGCTATTGGACAAAGTAAAGGTCATACGACTCATACGATTATGATTTGACCTTCTTATTTATTTTAGGATTAAATGCAAAAAATCCTTCTGAATTATCGGTCAATTGTAACAAACTCTTGAGCTAACAAAAAAAAATCCTTAAACTATGAATTTGTTGCAATTAAGGACATTTCGGCAGTTGAGTTGATCGAAAAAATAAAAAGACGAGAATACCCTTACTGAAAGGATGTAGTTTTGGGAGAGTTTAAGTTAATAAAATCAAAATACACATTTATCCCTATAAATTTTAAGCTAACAGATACAGATCCTCTCCATAATCATCTCTCTCTTGCTTTCTCCAAATCTAAATTTAAGTGCTTTCTCCAAATCTAAATCTAAATTTAAGTGTTTTCTCCAAATCTAAATTTAAGTGCTTTCTCCAAATCTAAATCTAAGGATTAATATTAAGACACATCTTCACTACCTAAACCTAAAAATTAATTATATATCGAGTACTGTACTGCAGTTGATAAAAAAAAAGGGGGAAATAGAGTTAGATAAATTAATAGTAATTAAGAAACTAATTGATTTTTTCACTTTTTGTCTATAATTTATTATTATTATTATTATTATTGTTAAAACTTGATTTTTCAATTTTTTATTTTGAAAGACAAAAAATATAACATAAAACTATTGTCATTAGCTAATGGTTAAAATCTCATAATTTATCAGCAATATTTTTAAACGGTACCAGATTTTTGGTCCACTGGCAATATTAAAAATGGCTATGCAATTATGCATGTAATTTAAAAGGGTCGGTGTGCCCTATTGTCCTTATTTCACCAACTAAGCACGGTGGTCCACGCCTTGAAACAATTAAAGAGCATTGATTTTATGGTTTTGTTTTAACTAATTAAATATAATAAAAAAAATATATGGAGTGTTGCAGAATAATGAAGTATTCTTCGACGTTGAAGAGTTTGTAAGAATTAGTAGATTCGAAGAATTTCGAATAGTATAGAGTTAATAAATATATATTTTTAGACAAAGAGTTCTAATGAATAAATCTTAATTATTAATTATAATTCATTATAAGGCAGAGAGATGAGATGGCCTATATACAAATAGAGTGTGATTTATAAATATTAAACTTACAAGTTGGTGTTGAAAATGTACACTTAATTATATGTCCATTATATATTGTGCGTCATACCTTCGCCGTGATTCACACATTTTAGAATTTTTTTGAAATAGAGGGGTTATACAAAATTAAAGATGTTCGCAAAGTAAAATATGGTGGCATTGACTAGATGAGAACTCTATTGGAGCGCTATTGCAATATTCTATGTGGTAGAGATAATATTATACTTGTGTACGCATTTATTTAAATACTAATAAAATGACATGTGAATTACTTACTCTAAGAAAATTTAAATTGGTTGAAATATCTCATGCGCATTTATTATATTCCAAATTAATAAAGTAGTCGATTTTTAAGGACAAACACAAAAATAAATAACACTAAGTTTAAAAATAAATGTATGTACAGCAATCCATCTAAGTGTAGAGTACAATACTTCATTTAAGCACTTTTAATGCTTTTGAAATCAAATTTTAAAAGCATTGTTTTTAGTCTGAGAAATCAAAAACAAAAGATTGTGTGTTGTTGTGGCCCGAATTTAGTTTTGGGTTGCATTATGGCTTATTTACGACCCGATGGTTCATTGGATGCTTGTGGGTTGTGAACCCTAATTAATATTATTTTGTAGTCCAATATTTAAGGGAGCTTAAGGTTTAAAGTGCTTAAGAGACACTGAAAGCTGTACAAAAAAAGAGGGGCTGGAATTTGTAATCTCCAATTTTATACATAGTGAAGACTTTCGCCGGATCTTCACTACTTAAGTTTTGCCGAACCACTTATAAATTTTTGTGTTTCTTGTGTTCTTTGTGTGTGGTGTGTTTACTTTTCTGTCATTGTTGGTTAGATTCACTGTGTTAAGACGAAATTTAAACATAATTACGAATGCTCTATTCGGTAGGAAAAAATAATAATAATAAATAAATAAAATAAAATTTTGATGGAAGTGAGAGAAGAAGGGATGGATGAGTCTCATCTCTAAGGAAGAGATTGTGCATTTACTTCTTTTTGTTCGATGGGATAGAAGGGAAAGCATAAATTCATAATTTACTATGTTAGTTAAGAAAGAAGGAAAACAGAAAGTTTTAATTGTTTTAACCATTATATACAATATTATAAATAATATTGTAATTTAGAGGGGATAGTGTTGTCCTATAATTTAAAACTTATATAAGTTAGGATAGTCTTTAATTTAAAACTTCTATAATAGTCCACCTCTGTGACGTTCCGAATTTTCACAAACCCAAATATGTCAATGTAACCTGAAAGTTGACCCAATAACGGATTCGGAATGCGGAAGTAGAAAAAATAAAAAATAATAAAATAATAAATAAATAAATAAATAAAGTCTATGGGAATAATCGGTATCTCTAAGACGCCATGATGACTTTCAATGAAGCCACGGAACTAAAAGAAAACAATTGCGGAAGCGAAAAGGTGAAATAAACCAAGTATGCCCACAAGAGCAGAATGGTCATTTCACATGAGAACAAAGTCTTGAGAGATATACGTCACCCCTAAGACACAAACATGACTTCCCATGTAGTCACGGAACTTAAAAGAAAACAAAATGCGGAAGCGACGTTTTAAAAACGAACAAGTTTAGCCTTAAGGGAAAATGGTAATTTCTAGAAAGTTATGGGTGCTACTGAGCACACCATTGGATAGATAGCGAAAAATTAACGACGATAGACTCAAGAATCACTTGATTCGAAATCCGGTCGGAAGAAAACGGTCAAAACAAAAATGGGTGTCGTTGCAGCCAAGGGGCACCAAGGCCAAGCCCCGTGCGCGCACCGCGCTCTTCTCTCCTTTCTTCTACTCAATTTTGGACCGATGAAAATTTGTAAAGGAGGAAGGATGGGTTATCCTTATTCTCCTTTCTTTTCTTGTATCATTTCTACCGAACAAAGAAAGTTTGTTTCTTCCTTTCCATTTTCTCTCCACACATCTTCCTTCCTTCTTACCGAACACAATATAAGGGTTTTATGGTCCCGTAATATCTCATTTACCTCCTATAGTGGATGGTGATCATTAGAGTTCCCAAAGAGACAAAGTAGATGTATGAGTAGGGTGTGTGTTTCCTGCCAATTAATAATAATAATAATAATAAAGGCTTTTTTTTTTTACCAAAGTCCCATAATAGTTTGCCATAATTATAGGAATCTCCTCTATGGTTTGAAAAATTACTCAGCACCCTAAAAATAAAACCATCTGACCTCCAACAAATTGTGCTGATGTCATGTACTTCATTAAGTGAAATGCCCATAATATCCTTCATCCGTCTCATCTCTCTCTATATAATATTCACTTTCTTGCAAATCACCACCATGGCCGACGACCAAAGATAATATTTCTAACTTCAGGTAAGCATATACAATTTTTAAAGTAATAATTTATATGTTACTCAAATTAGTTACACACTCTCTCTATATTATATATCCTGAATCACCACCATCGCCACCGCTGACGACCTCCACCCAATGACAACTGTTCCGGCGACCTTTTGTTAGCACCTTTGCAGCCATTTATTATTAGCATATAACATGTATATAAACAAAATGTAGTATATAAAACCCATATGGATATAAATTCATAGACCCAAAACCATAGACCCAAAAGTCCAGTATCTTTCAAAATCATTAAAAACACAAATAATGCATAAACCCAATATTAAACTCCAATAACAAGTAGTCTTGAACCCAATATTGTAGTGGTTCCTAGAGAGAGAGAGAGTTACGAAGATGGGTAACATGTAGTGAAGATGGGTCTTGGGTAGTTGCCGTTCGATTACTAGGCGCTGGATTTCACGGGCCCCTTCCGGTGAGAACTATAATCCTTCAAATCCTCCATTAACTCCGGTGAATGCTGACTCAACTCTCAAATCTGAAACCCCTCTCCGGCGAGAACAGTTCCTCTCTTTTGACGACTAAACTCTTAAATCCTTGGTGAGAACATCATGCGTTCCAAGGACATATATCATCCCTCGAAAAGCCAAGCACCATGCAAGTAACCAGCACAAGTGTAAAATGAAGGAAGAACAATTCATAATTCACAAAGTTTGAGTGCAATAGCTACTCTCTTATAAGCCTTAATTTCCACCTCCAAATTTTGTGTCAATGATACAAATCTATGGCCTACAAAAAATGACTAAATTAAACAATATAAATCGGCCTCGTTGTTTTCTACTTATACAGGGTCTTTCAAGGAACAAACCAAAAATGGGTTAAGGAGCAGGTCAGCTTCGAGTCAATAGGGTCTCTAACCAGTCCGATGTGAATTCATAAGCAACAAATGTTACAGCGCCTGCTGGTGCCGCTTTCACAATTGATGGGACAATGCCCTTATAGAGGCCAGCCCAACCTTCCTTTTGTAAAATTCGGCGGAGTGCATCATACATATTTCTGTAAGCATGATACTCAACTCGAGCTCCATACTTTGGGTCCCTCTGTAGCCCTTCAACCTGCAACAGAAACATTCACATATCTGAGCTGAATTTGGAAGCAACATTTGCAGCTTTAGAGATGTGTGTCTTTTTCTTTCATATTAGCTCTTATTTTCATTCACGTTACAACCACAAAATTCTATAACAAAGTAGTAAAAAGGGCGAATAGTCAAGTAACTGTCAAAGGCTTAAATCTTGATAAATACACATTAGAAATTATACGTATGTATAACTCTGCCCAGGTAAACTGTTTCCAAACAATCATGCATCAAGAGTAGTGGAGAAAGAATCATCCTACACAGAACCAAACAAGTAACCACTGTTATGAGGAGTGTTTTATACCATATAATCCATTATTTTCGCATTTGGGTGTCCCATTTCAGATGTCACACAGCAACGGTAACTTGGATCAGATGTTCTATAACCTAGTGATGTTTAAAAGTAAAAATACATGATAATCTAGCAAAACTTGAACATTTTATTAAAATAACGGTGTTAAGTACATAAATCACCCAGTTCAACAAGGTTGGAAATCTACCTGAAACCTCTTCTTGACCACATCAAGTGGGTGACAAACAGCTTTAGCACATGTGCCAGCGGCTAACCCGCAGAGAAAAAGCTGGAAGCTTGAAAGGGTATTGTCAGCTACGTTTATATTAGAAGATCTAAACTGGTTCCAGGCCTACAAGAAATGAAGTAAATTGTTATGGGCCTGAAACAAAAATCTATTGTCATCAACTCGTCAGAGTAGAAGCATTAAAGAACATTTACCCACATTGAAACATGAAGCAAAAAGGAAAAAAGGAAAATCAGAAACTTTTAGTCAGTCAGCTGCATATATTTAGCCTCCCCCCACACACACCACACACACACACACACACACAAAGGTGAAAAAACTCCCAGGACCCCCCTCAATCCTTGACCCGTGCTTGTCTAATTCAGCATCTTACCAAATCTGAATCAGGCAGACTCAGGAACCAGCTATGGTACTTCACTGAATCAGTTGAGTATACAGACCCAGAGAGGGCATGGAAATACACAAAATGGATATTCATTAAAAAAAAATCCAGAAACCTCTAAAATTACCAAGTGCCTGATTCTTCTTGAATCATCCCAAATCTTTTTCGAGGTCTGTCTTTCTCTTAGTTTTGCAATATTAAATGGCATATCCTACATGCACATTATGTGTAAATTGTAATATACTGCTGCGTCAACAAATCAATTTCCTAGATTCACCAAATGATGTTAGAATAATCTTATTTTCTCACCCTAAAAAGAAAGGCAATTTTTAATAGAACTGAAATCATATACATCATCAAAGCCATACATATTAAATAATGTAGAATGACTTTTAAATAGTAGAACATTACCATGGTCCAACGCTTGAATGTATCATAAGTTCCAAACTGCAGGCCGGCATAAGGAATAATCTCAACCAATGTTGGTGATAACCCATAATACAACCCTTGGAAACCACGAGTTCTGATGATATGAAGGAATGCAGATCTCATGTTTGGATACACCTAAATGTGAATATGAATCTCAGTTAATTCAAAACTATCATATGCATGGACAGATGACAGATAAAACGCAATACCTTTACATGTCTCATTCTACCTAACTATTTTTCAGTCAGTCAAAATTTTCATGGAATGAATTGGGAATAGAAGTCATGTCTATAACCTGATTTAGGCTTCTATTTTCCCTTTCTAGACTAGCTTCAAACTCAGGATTTAAGATGCATGCGCTTCCAACACCAAAAGGATCCCAGAAGGATCAAAGCCACAATTAGGTATAGTTGTCTAATAAGCTAACTGATAATGCATAAAAACTATCAACACATGATGTGTTAACATTCAATGCACCAACAAACTACATACATTTATTGTTTTATTGCTTTTAAATTATTTTTTAAAAAACAAAGAAGAGGGGGGAGGGGGTATATGGTGAACCTTGGAAAGTATTATGAAATAAATGAGAAAGGCCTCTTGGCTAATGGGTATGAAACAGTGGCGATGGTTAAGAGTCCATAAGTGGCAAATACAAATGCCTAGGAGATACCTCGCAAGTAAGTAAGTGCAAGAATGCAAAGCAAATAAGTCTTTATTTCATTCTTTTTTCTAGCTGTCTTATTTCGCTCACTGATTTTTATGGTTCTTTTTTCTTTTTTATGATATACTTGGTTGTGTTGGATGATTGACATGTACTGTTAAATTAAGGAAAAAAGTTTTTAATAGATACTGTATTAATTAAGAACTGGAACCCTAATTCCAGCTACCCTTTAGATGTCATAACAACACTTCAGTTACCATGCTACAACAGCTTTGGCGACCCTAATAACTTACTTTTTTGTGCACAGGCAATGCCAACAAACAAAATAAAGTTATCCATGGGCTAAATTTTTTTTGTTTGCTCAAGTAGACCGACAACTTAAATCACTAATAACAAAGTAAACATAAATCCCAGGTAATACTAACCATTAAAAAGTTCCAAAAGCTCTAATTAGCAGGATTCACTAACAGTGTTCAAAATCTATGTAAAAACAGATCGTTTTTTTGCACCACATAGTTTTGAATAAATTATGCTCCAGAAAACCTCAGAAGCGATATCACTACTAGAAGATAATAAAGAAATGAAGTGCACCTTATATTTATCACATTGACAAAAGCTGAGAATTCTAGAATTAGTCCATAAGCAAAAGAAATTAAGAAATTTGTTGCATATATGTATATGCATAATATATAATTCACGCATATGATGCCTACCTATGTAGGCAAGCATGTATTTATGCAAATATCCATGCAAATGCCTAGTTAGAGTGATCCATGTAGCAATTAACAGATCATATTTGAAGGGTACAAAATCTCCACAAAAGGCCCCTTATATAAATAAGACTCATAACCTACAAGGATTCAGAGTTGAGGTTCTTCAACGTTTAATTACTCAAAACGCAAAATTAAATTTATTGGAAAAAGATATATGGTTATCTTAATGCATTTACTTAAAAGCTATACCTTTGGCTCACCCTGTGAAGCTAAAATAGTTCGTAGGAGGTCAAATGGATATGATCCAACTGTAGCTGCACATCCTGCTAATGCCCCACTGATATAAGAAAGGTAAGGGCTCAAATGAATGTGATCCTCTGCATCACAGCAAAACAGAAATCAAGTCATGGCTTGAAATAGACCAAGACACATCCGAAAGAGCACATCCCAACAGTCTGCATCATACTTTACGGATCAGTAACAAAACCACAGAAAACTATTCCCCTCCAAGACATCATAGTTACAAGATAAAATGAACAAGATGCCTAGTGCATTACATCAGAAAATCTGAAACTAACAGTCAGTTTATAACCTCCTTGAACCTTTTAAAGATGAATAGAAAAAAACCAAAATTAAACTACAATAAGTTAAGCAGCTAAACAAATCAAAGCCGCAGCTAGAAAAGTCAAGGGCATATCATTTAAGACCACCTTCTTGACAAGTACACTAGAAGGGTGCCAGAGGTGGCACAACCTTTATGATTTCAGGTGAAAATTATTAGTGATTTAATCAAATCAGCGGTTAATGAGAGAAGTTGAAAGTAGCATGTAGCCTTTCTTCTATTGACATTTGCATAAAGTTGAGGAAAAAGAAAGTTAATTTTAATTACGAATACAGCATTAATTATGAACGTCATAAGAGATTGCAAGTTGCAAAATCTAATTATGCATAACACAGCATTGCCAAAGAGGGAAAATTAACCATCTCTATGAAAGTTTTGATAGCATCCTAGAACGAACCTGCCTTGGAAGAACCAGATGCAAACGTCTTCAATTTGTGCAGCACCGTGAATTGTATGGCAGTATATGGCATAACCATGAGTAGTGCTGGGACATTACCACGCCAAAAACCCTTCAATGAAAAATTAAATTGAATAAAATTCTAAACATGACATGTGTAGACGTGTAAGCAAATCCACTCTGGAACAACAAATGAAAATATTTCATTCAGGTATAATTTGAGATGCATAAAATATGTTTGGAAATACTAGGCCATCCATCAAAGCTTGAAAGGCACAGAACCAAAATATTCCATGTTAAAACCTCCCTTCTAATAGAAATTCCATGTTTAGCCCATTGGTTTAGAGTTGATCCATGAAACTAGTTGATTAGGAGAGAATCACCACGACTCAGTGGTTCAACCACTCAAAGATGGTAATGTACATTTCCAGGTTCTGTGGAATCAAATTGCCAAACATATATTTACAGGTAAATAAATGCATTATACAAAAGAAAATGTATTTCTTAGTCTATAAAGAGAGTGATCCATACCCGTAAACCTTCCTCTCTAAAGATGTCCTTAGTTGCCTGTATCATTCCAGTATATTTTGATGCTCCGTACACATCCTTGTGTAGCAAAGCCCATGAAGTAGTTGGTTCCAGTTGAACCTGCCCAGAAATACCAATAGATAATTGAGTCCAACAGGAGTTATCCAGCTGCAACCAGGTTCTTGTGTCAATGCACATAATTGTAGAGAGAGGACAATGGAATGAACTTATGCACTTAAAAAAATGATTTAAGTCGATAAACACTTAAAACTTCCAAATGTTAAAACAGTTGTAGATGATAAAAATGCCCGCATAGCATATTACAGGATATGATGGAATTAGGGGTTCAATTCTATTGCTGTCAAATGTCAAAAGACCAAAAAATTTTGCATATCATAATATATAATCAAACCAGTGAACAGTGAAAATATGTGACATGTAAAAAAATCATTTAGACTCTTTTATGCCCTTGGTAACTTGCTATTTCTATAGGAATGTCAATTACAGAAAGTTGTTGAATTTTAAGTTTTCAAACTCTTGAAAGTAGAACTGCACAAGAATTGAGATGACAGTATTAGAATTTTCCTAGAATCTCAAAATTATGCACTAACTTTTGAAAAACTACATGTAAATAAAAGCAACCCTTAGCTTACCGAAGTAATCTCATGTTTATTTTTTCATTTAAAACTTTTCTAGATAGAAATCTAGATTTTGATGCCCTTACAATTAAGAAACCATTGTTTGATCAAAACTACTTACACTTTTCAAAATTAATCCCGAAAACTTTCCTTCTTTATAATGGAATATAGATAAATTAAGAAAGACTCACAAATTCAAAATAAGTTAGGATTGTTAATTCATAACCATGCAGTTGGGGGTTAGAGCTCCAATGTTTAAGGACAAATACCAAGCCACCCAGAATCTATAATAGCAGCAAGTTTCTTCTTTTCTCTTGTGTTTATTTATTCTGGTCCATGTTTATTTTTTCATGGTTGATATCTTTTCTTTTGGTCTTGCTTATATTGACAAGCTTTCATACTTATTTTATTTTCTAATTCTGAAAATAGAAACCACTAGTGTTGTGAATCTTTGTTTTCTATGTGGAAAACTATTTTTAAATGAAAGTTTAAGATTATATGGGTTAACTAACAAACATCTATTTTACATTCAAATAATACTACTTCTCATGGATTATTTTTGTTGACAGTCAAACGAAATGAAAATTGTCCTCATTCACCATTTTAATAATAGGGCCTTGTCATGGTCCAAGCATTTTGGTTGTTTTATTGAATCCATGGGATGTGGCAGAATTTTGGTTGGTTGTTTGACCATTTACATGAAGAGGGATAGTGGGCAAAAACTGTAGGGTGCATGCAATCACGGTGCCAAACTTCTTCCAGCTAAAATTCATACAGATGAGACAATTAATCTCAGTCTATGATCATTCATACTTCCCAATTGTCAACATGTTAAAGTTGAATTTTAAACCAAAGTACTTTAGACAATGTTGGGAAAAAGGCTTGGTGATTGTTGTTGTTGCTATAGTAGTAGTAGTAGTATCTGAGATTATGTATTTAAAGGCCTGGGATCCAAGATGAACACTCCACATGGGCAGACATTCTCCACTTCACACCTTGACACGTCACAATGGAGGATTCCAAGGAGATTACAGTTTGGTGAGCTACGTGGAAAGTGACAAATCACAGACGATGCCATAAAGATTTTGCCACTATGACCGTGCAAAAGCACTCATATCAAATCCATTGTCAGTGGTCCCACAACCATGGTTTCGAGACTCAGCCGAGTCTTTCTATATCAGCCATGTTCCAGTCCAATACTTACCAATACTATGGCAATTGTAATCACATCAGACTCGGCCAAGACAGCCAATCTGATGGCGTACAAGGTCAAGAAATTTTCACAAGTATAGTTTGCCCATTACACCACAACTGTGTCTACAACCACAACCCTTAGGTCCTTTGAGTGCAGCCTCTAGCTAGAGGATCCATATCAGATACTAAACTGATAAGAAATGATACTACACTTGATCTTAGGTAAAAAGCCGAGGAAGGTATGTAATATGGTAGTGATTCTATAGAACATGTGTTAAAAAATTGACTGATCATACACAGTCAATAATACCAACCACAATGCAAAATATGAAGTCATATTATTCAAGTTCATCCTTTAACATGAACACAAAACTATCGACATACATGCAAACATATCGATTCTAATCTTGTTCTAGCACAATTGTGGCAATGGGAAGACAGTAAGTGAAATTATCAAATTCAAAAACATTAAATATATATGTATGTGTGTGTGTGTATTAGGAGTTTCTCTTTTTCTCACTCCTTTGTAGCCATACTTTTACAATTACTTTGGTCACAAGAAGAAGAATTATTCAATGCGTGCGCGTGGAAGAAACACCCAAAACTTTTTTAATCCATTTATAATAAAGTAATCAACAACACATTGAACAGATGAAAGTAGCTATCAATTATTGCAATTTTTAATATGTGTATAATAAAGTAATCAACACCACATTGAGCATATGAAAGTAGCCATCAGTGTCCACTTTATGGGTTTTACAGAATAAGTGTTCGACAAATCCAAATGAGCCTCAATACTTCCAATTTTCTGGTTAGCAGGCAGTAAATGCGTGCAAACGGGCATTGGGATTTACTAGCGCTGGAAGATGAATAAATATAATGAAATTTAGAGCTAATTGCATTTGAAAAAAATGGACCCAAGACTTATTTATGGAAGTATAATCAAAATCTGACCTGGAATCTGATCTTAATAACATCAAGGGGCGATGTTACAGTCCGAGATATACCACCAGAGATTGCCCCTGCGGATGCATCTATCAGAGCCCGTTTCAGCTGCCCTGGCTCTTCCATCACCCAAAAATTCAGCTCAAATTATAAAACCTACACTCCATGCCAAAAACCAACTCCCTCAAATTCACAATACCAAAAAACTATGCTCAAAATTGACCCAAAAAAAAGAGAAACAATAAATTGCATCCAACAAATCCAATACTGAATAACACAACCTACATGAGAATTATTCAATTTCAAGCAATTACTACAATTTCATGGCTGTTGTCACAAACTCTAAAAAATCAACAAATTGCAACTTGTAACAGAATATAAACAGGCATAAATCGACCAAAATAGTAGCGGAAAATCAACCAAGAGTATACGCATAACAGGAACCAGACCTGAAGATCCTCTAGAAAATTAGGGTTTAGCAATAAAATCGTGAAATTTTGAATAACTAGAGTTCAAATAACATAAATATTTCCAGTATAAATCCCAAATTCATCATATAAATATAGTACCTGAGAAGAGGGAAACAGAACCGCCGACATTGATATTTTGAGAAGAGTCAGAGAGGAGAATTGACTGTTGCAGCGTCAATGTGAGCAGCGGGTAACTTGGAAGTTGGAACGCCTTTTGGAGAGAGAGATTTAGGCAGCGCCTGAGCTGTGTGGGGTGAGTTTGGGGGAAAAGAAAAGAAAAATATCAAAGGAAACATTCGGTATCTTAAAAAAATGTGAGGGAAATAAATGGAAAACTGCCCGCCGCTTGTATAGTGTGGGAGAATAAATTCATTCAGTCAACCTTTTGAACTTGCTTTCATTACCCAGATATTTTTTTTTTTCTTTATTTATTTTTTTTTTTTACACGGATATTATTTTTATTGAACCCACCACATTGGGTGGGTGTAGTTGGGCTTTGCATTTATTTTTTTAAAAATTATTATATATATATTTTTTTCCGGAGATATTATGTGACAAAATTCTTAATTTTCAACCGTAATAATAATTTTTATTTAATAATAAATAAGAACAAAATTTTTAGCTTCCACCACCACGCCTTCACCTTTCACCACTCTGACGCCGCCTCTAAACTTTTGTTAATTAACACACAATTCTTAGCTCTTTGTTATAACTTATCAGAGAGCTTTTCTTAGCCTTATCCAACTAAAAATTGTTGTTAGTTTGGATACTGGTAAAAATATTTAATCTTGGGAAAAAAAAAAATTAATTATTATAAAAAAAAGTAACATGTCTCTCTATAGTCTCTATTACCAACCGGCTAGGCATGAAGAATCTGATGGGGAGGATCATTTATTTTATCAAAGTTGTATCTGAAAAAGTTTCAGATTACTATAACGGTGCTACACTGCTACATTAAAGGGTACTGAACATTTGCAGTGTGGCCAAATATGGTGCATAAGCTGTTTACAACTTTTGAGATTTTTTTTTTTTTTGTCGTTACTTGTGAGATTAATCTACCCTCATTTTGTGTCAATAACCTGAACAAAATAACAATTTAATCATATTCTCATCGCATCCTAAGGTAGTGATTACACCACCAAGTGGACTTATCACGTGATGTGGTCCAACCTCAACACCAATTATGCAATTTTCACCGTAGATGAAGCACGGGACCGGGCGGCCGAGCAATCCAAGTATCCATTATTATCATCTCATAAACTCAATGGCTCCAATTTCCATAATAATAATAATAATAATAATAAAATAGTTGTCACATTCATTGTTCACAATAACAGACTCAGGCGAATATCGACCTAAATTGACAAAACTGGTTGCGTCATGGAGGTGTGTAACGGTGTCGGACCTCAAAAATAGAATTACAAACCGACCGATACGCGACGTATCAGCGGAGCCATAGTTACAATTGAAGAAATATCACCAAACTTTATCCACACCATGAATATATTAAATATTATTAAAGACCATTTAACATGATTGTTTTAAAGGACAAGTGCAGAAAACACTCTTAAAGTATACTCGACGTAGTATTTTTACCCTCTTTTTGAAAATGTGTGCAAAAAATACTCCTAATCTTTTCACATTGTCCAAAAATAATCTATCTAACATAAATTAGTATTGTAATACCCGTTTTACCCTTTTACTCATTCGAAAATGTCCGATGGGACATATATGCTACCAGTCTTATAATATAGGGATGTTATGTATACATTACCATATATATATATATATATACGAAACTTTTTTCTCTATATTTATCCCTAAACCTTTTTTTTTTTTTTTTTTTTTTTTTAAACTTTGAGAATTTGTAAACACAGAATTTGAATTTTTTTAGATTTTAGTTTACATCTACTATTTTTTTCTTTATTTTATTTTTTTTCGTACCCACAAAAAAATTAAAAAAAATCTCAATCTCAAAATCTCAAAAAAAAAAAATATTGATATTTAGTTTTCTTTTACTATTTTAGTTTGCACTTTATTTTCTTTCTTTTTTATTTTTATTTTTATCTTTACTTTTCTTTTATACTTTTATTTTTTATTTCCTATTTTTATCTTTACTTGTCCATTGTCGGCATCCTCCTGCCATTTTCGGTCATTTTACAAAATTAATTATTTATATATATTTTATAAAATAGTTCAATAATTATAATTTAGTCAACTTATAGTTTAAACTTACCAGGAACCTATTTGCACCAAATTGAAACTTTAGAGGTGTTTTTTTCAGGGCATCCTCCAATATTATCCTTTTCCATCATTTTACAAAATTATTTTTTTTTATATATTTTATAAAATAGTTTAGTAACGGTAATTTAGTCAACATAAGGTTTAAATTTATCAGAGGAATCTTTTTGTACCAAATTAAATTTTTATGGGTATTTTTTGCACGTAAAAAGTGTGATATGTATTGTAAACATATTTTAAAGATGTCTTATGCATCTGACCATATTTTTAAATATAAAATGTAAACAACAAATGATATATTAAACTTTAAGTTTTTTCACTTGGTAAAAGAAATTTTGCAAACTATGATTTTATTAGTGATAACAGGTGTGTGACAATATTATCAAACTTGTTTTCATAACTTAGAGAATGAAAAAACATTTTTTTTTTTTATTTACCAATAAAAATAAAAAAGAAATATTTTACTTCCTCGAGAAACTCACACATATCTATTTCTTTATTATTTCTGTGTGGACACGTGTCCTCTTTTGCTGACAGTACTATACACGTCCTCTTTTGCAGACGCTTTTGCTGGTATTATTAGTGCCACAACAAGGGCACGCCCCTCACACCCTGTTGATATCCACTTTCAGAGAATCAGAGTATACCCCACACACTCTCTCTCTCTCTACAAATGTATACATGTATAGTATAATGGATGTGTATCGTTAGGGTTAAGTAAAAAGTAAGGTGTAGCAGTGAATGCATATGCTTCAAATATCCGCTTAAGAGGTATGATTCCTCTGTTTTTGATCCATTTTCATGTTCAAAGTTAATGTTTCTTTTGCATATTGAAACTACTTTTATGGAATTCAATAGAGACAATAAAAGCACCATATGATTCCAAAATCAAAAGTAAGTGCGTTGAAAATACTACACGTTGTTTGTTTAGCATTTCTATAATTGTTGTTTTGTTATTCATATTTGCTTTTCAAGAACAGGAAAAGTACTTTGAAAAATGCTAACCAATTACATTAACCCTTTAGGGTTTTGCTTTTGATACAATAACTATGGATTAGTCTGAAACTCTTTACATTTTTGTTAATAGGCCGTTTATACTAGGTTTCTAATAGTTACCCACTGATCAAACAGTGTAACAATGCCTTAAATGCAGTCCTGGTTGTATGTTTAATAGAATGAGAACTTTGTCAATGGAAATGGGGTCTGAGGAAGCTAAAAGATTTTCAGAAGTCGATTTGAAAAACATGTACAGCAGAGTTAAAAATGGGGCTCTGAATGGTAGGGTTTGTGCCGGCAGAGATGGTAATTTGGCTTCCAAAAATGTCAAATCATTGAATGATGGGTCTATGAAATCTAGGGTTTCTGATGAGGTTAATTTTGGAGGGATTGGTAGGAAAATGGAAGGTGTGGATTCTGTAATTAAAACTAAGGAGTTAGCAACTAGTGAGAGTAACAATGTGAGTGCCGCTAAACGCACTAAGTTGGCGCATTCGGTGATAGTGGATGGAGGGCAAGTGGCAATTTCTTCTAGAGCAAGAAATAGAAACAGAGGAGCAAGAGAGGGACATGCCATTTTGGGTTGTAATTTTTTGAATCCCAAGTCGGATGAAGGCATTGCGTTAAAAATGCTTGATGTATCGAGAGAAAAAAGATTGAACACTTCGGGATACAAATATGAAGTAGGAGATCTAGTTTGGGGAAAGGTTAAATCACATCCATGGTGGCCAGCGCAGATATTTGACGAAGCATTTGCTTCTCCTTCAGTTTTTGCTAATAAGAAAGAGGGTCATGTTTGGGTTTCATTTTATGGTGATAACAGCTATGGATGGTTGAAACCGACAGATGTCATCCCTTTTGATGTTCATTATGCTGAGAAATCAAAGCAGATAAATGCTCGGAAATTTTTAACTGCGGTTGAGGAGGTTGTGGATGAAGTCAAAAGGAGAGCTGCACTTGGCTTGGCTTGTCCTTGCCAGTTCCTTTCTAATTTTCGGCCTACAAGTGTTCAGGGGTTCTTTGAAGTTGATGTCAGGGGCTATGAACCTGATGGTCTGTATTCACTGAAGCATATTGAAAAGGCTAAGGATGATTTTCAACTATTTAAGATACTCTCTTTCGTACGGAAATTGGCGTTAGTGCCTCAAATTGATGTTCAAATAGACATCAATGTATGAAGAACGTAGCTCAAGTGCTTGCTTATCGAATGAGAGTGTCTAAGGAGTTTGATGAGACCAATGCTCAGGAATTTGGGAAGCAACCAATAAGGGCTAGAGATTCAGTGGTGGTTGTTTTAAAGGACCAGGAAAAGATGCCATTGGAAGATATAATTAATTTGTTTTTTCTTCACAAGTTTTCTTCCAATTTTGTTGTTGCATTATTTTCTTTTGTTCGACTGTTTGTGTGCTACAGGTTGTTTTCTTGCTTAGTTACCTTGTTTCATGCATAAAAGAGTAATGTGCCACCTAATGCATCGATCTTGAAGGTGGTTAGGAACTTTTACAGAGAGTTATAATAACTTAATTGTATGAAATTCGAAAATTGAATCAGTTTGAATCTTATTAGTAGTTTTTTCAGCTTAGACTATGGTTTCAATCTGGATTAATATACATACATACAGATATATATATATATATATACATACATACAGATATATATATATATATATACATACATACAGATATATATATATATATATACATACATACAGATATATATATATATATATATATATATATATATATATATATATATATATATATATATATATAGTTTGGTGCTTAATTTTGGATACACGCAAGCAATTACAGAGAGTTGAGCCAGCTGGCCACATGAATCCCCAGAATGTCTGCAAACAATTATCACTTCGCCATCCAACTTATAGCCACCTTACTAATGGTGCAACACTGATAGTTTCACTTTACTGATTAAAGCCTTTTTCTAGTAGTACGTTCTGAGTCTAGCTGCAAGTTTTTACTTTTATTCAAGTATTTTATATATATATATATATATATATATATATATTAGTGGCATCTGAAAGAATTTGAGTATAGGTTCTTTTTCATTAGTTACTTAAAGTTTTCATCCTTTCGTTGTATTTCGAACCTTAAGGATGGCATTTCCATTGAAATGTTTTGAGTATTTGATTGCTACAATTGTTATTATACTCTACTTACTCCTTGACGAATTGCCTTCAATTTATGGCCATTGCCCCTATAATTGCTGCTCATCGATATTACATGTTCCTGTACGATTTTAATTTTTGTAAAAGCAATAGTCCATAATTGCTTTAGTATGTCCATCTGCTTGCAGAAAAGATGACTTCTCTCCATGGGGTAGCTTTCAACCAATTGAATCCCAAGCTTCATCTCAGAATAGATGGCTTCTCTCCATTAGAACAAATTGAAAAGGAGAACAGATCGTCCAAGGAACTTCGTCAGATTGGGATAACAAAAATGATATGGGAGGAATCAGTGAGTTTGTGGGGTGAAGAAGGTGAAAACCAAATGGGGAGAGTGAAGGTTCAAGAGTTGAGCTTCTTAAATGCAGAGGTGCTTTCTTTCTTTAGTGACTCCACAGTTGCTTGCACTATGGAAGCTTTTGAAGATGGACCTCATAAAGGCTTGTCTGTTCATAGATTCCTTTCTGACCAGCAAGTCAATGTGTTTGGCACAAGAAAGTCTTCATCAGTTCCTGCTCCTTCTGGTATATATACATGTCTCTATCTCTTTTAATTGATGTTAATATCTAACTTGTAACCTATAAATACATAACAATCTCTATGTGAGCTCACTACATCTTTCCTTTCCCTCTGGGTGAAGGTAAAGCGGATATTTGTTGAATAAAGGTAGCTTGCTTACTTTTTGATTAGTATATAACCAATTAGTATACTATATTGAACCCGTGGGCCATGACCTTCAGACCACAGTGCTAAAGCTCGTCCTCAATATAGTATAACCAACTGTATTCTTAGTAATTTCAGGCCAATTATATCCAGCCAAATCATTCTTTTTAACTAATTAGAAAAATTATTCCTATAAAATTTAATATCCTTGTCCAATGCTTAAAGCCACATTACGCCCAAGTCCTAAATTTAACCGCCCACTCTAAAGATTAGAACAAGAAAAAATAGTTCTGTCTCACGAATTGCAATGTCAAGTACTACATTTGTAATCACAAAATTATAAGCAGTTCATGCACAAAAGAATTAAGAGACAAGTGTTAGATCATAGTAGCATTAATCAGGTGTCTAGCTCAGTTGCTTCATCAGCAAAGAGCCAGTAATAGGAGGGTTGTTCTTTTGTTTTCTAATGTCTTTAATCTGATGTATAGGATGGAAGTGGTTGTATGTTGTGGGATGCTTTGTCCTTCTTTTTATCTTTTCTAGTTCTGGAAGTGGTCTTGAGGGTTGTACTTTAGTTTTGTAATGTCTTTAATCAGATGTATAGGATGAAAGTGGTTATATGTTGGGGGATGTTTTGTCCTTCTTTTTATCTTTTTTGGTTTAGGAAGTGGTCTTTCTCTATTGTTGAGAGAGGGTATGCCCTCTCTTTCTTGCTTTATATCTTTGCTGTTTTCTAATTAATAAAGTTCACATAGGAAAATAAAAAATAAAAAGCTCTGAATTTGACACTGGGAACTTTGTTTTAAATAAAGCTGAAGCATTAATCTTGGATTTATCAAATGGAACAGAAAGAGAGGACTCCAAAGACCTTTCATGTCTAGAATATCTAAATGCTTCCGCAATTCTTGGAACAGGAAGGAACACATATGGTTTGAAGAATCAGCCCGTATTGTGTTTGATCCTTTTTAGAGGTTTCCTCTTAAAGAATGTCTGCAACTCCCTTATGAGGCTGCAATCGGAAACCCAAAATTTGAAGAATTCTAAGACTTGTGCTCAAGGGCCTCGGTATACCACGTTCCCTTCTGATAATAACTCCAGATCATCAAATAGATCAAATGTCTAAGGCGCAGGTTGAAGAAGAGCCATAAGAACTGTTCCTTGCATTTGTGAATGAAATATTGAATGCATTTTACAATTTATATATCATATTTAGACATGAATTGTAAATCTTCAGCACTACCCATCCTTATAATCTCACCATATCTATAATTTGATAATGATTAATGGGTTGTTATTGAGGCATTAGTAAACCTATTTTCTTTTAAAAGAAAATATTGACATTGCTCTGGTTCCAAGGTTACATATGGTTAAATAAATTTATGTATGCGTTTGTGATTTATATATATTAATATAGCGGTAATTGGGCAGCTTGTGTTGGTGCAGCTATTCCTCCATTGGAATTCAAGGACCCAATTGAGTACTACTTGGAGCGTCTACGAGTTCCAGAACAAACACTACCAAGCTTGCATGAGCTCTGGGGGAAGTTATGAGAACCACCACCTGTGGAGCTTCTTTTCCCACTTCAAAATGATGTGTACAGAGACTTGCCTCCAGGGAAAGAAAGATTCTTCACTACCTCAGAACAATTAGATTGTAGAGCTATCACATCTGACATCTTCGGCCCAATTATCCGACCCAACCCTGGTCTAATTAGTACCACTGCTGGTAGTAGAGACTCCTTCATTGGCCTTTGGGATGATTGCATCAATAGATAGCGTCCAAATTTTGCTCAATCAACATGGTCTTAATTCGGAAACCTAGTACTACTTCATCTTCCTTAGACACATTGCAGGATCAATGGCCGAACCTAACTGGTTTGATAAGAAATTTCTGTCTCTGGAGAGGAGAGGAAACTGATCAATTAAGGTCAGGTGATATTACACCCTCTACTTCAATACTGTTGAAGCATATGTGGACTTACATGGACATACCTTATATATTGGGCTACTATGCTGTTGGCCACAGGGTCACCTTCTGTGCACTGAGTCGATTACATGCCCGCACAATAAAGAACGATCTTTATACGGTGGACTTATCAGTGCGAGCAGAGAGACTAAACGTCCTAGTCCCATGTTGGAGAATTGCAGGCTTATTAACATTGTTGGCTGACCGGTGTTCCAATTGCAAACTCTTTCTCTACAGCGATTTTGACAGGATCCATATGGGTAATGGGGATACATTTGAAATGACTCCGAACATGACGACTAGGTTCTTCACCAAGCTGAGAGAATGGGCTGCCGTGAAAGAAATCTATGGCTTCTTGGACAATAAAATCCCCCACGCAGAAGTTTTGGTTGGGTCATCGGAGAGAGAATTGGCATTGGTGTTTAACTCCAGAGGGTTCAAAATTAAGCCCCAGAACTGTGACCAGCTAGTGAAGGCTCTGATACACGTGACAGAGGCTTTGGTTGAATTGCATAAACTTTCTTTCATGCATAGAGACTTGGGGTGGGAAAAGGTGATAATGAGGATCAGAAACGGATAGAGAGAGTGGTTCTTGACTAGGTTCGATGAGGCAGTGTCGACACCACAAATGTCCCCACATGGAGGAGGAGGAGTTGGTGGCACGCCGGAGATGTGGACGGGGTTGCATGACATAAAAGTGGACATGTGGGGTGTGGGTCAGTTGGTGTGGACTTGTGGGTTATTGGATCTACCTGGGTGGCTCACAGCATTGCAGGACTTGTGTCTGCAACCCAACCCAGAGCACCGTCCCACGGCAGCTCAATGCCTCAACCTTCTTCAGAGAAGATATTGAGTGTGACGTGCATGCCATGTCATTGGCAATCTTTTGTCTACTGTGTCTTCAAATTTTGAACCACTTAATTTGGTATCATAGTCAATGGATAGAGGTGGATATATGCTCTTGCATTCTCTTTTGCTATATATATATATATATATATATAAATGTTTACTATTAACTGTTTAATGGATATTGGTGGATCCTTGCTTTTGGAAGTTGTATTCTCTGTTGGCATTTTTTTTTTTCCCTCTCTCCCTGAGATATCTAGTGTTTTGAAAGTTGAAACTGTATAATTTACTACTTAAATGTCGAGGTTGGGGGATTTGTGAAATTATTATTGTCAATTTAATCTTGTGACATGACAAAATTCAATACTGGACCTTTGTGCCTCCTGCCCTTGTGCTTTCTACCTTCATTTTTGTTTATAATTTAATCACATTTCTATCTCAAAACAGCTCAATGAAACACATTTTTATAACTATGCTTCAAGATAATCAAGACCAAATCACCATATACTCTTAGTAAATCAAATCACCAACGTTGCATCAACCTCCAACAACATGAATTATGTTACACCTCTGCTTCATAAAATTAATGGACATTTATTGTCAATATATATATATATATATATATATATATATATAACAATTTATAACTGTTACAGAAGGTCTATGTATCACGATTTTCTCACCTTCGAGAAGGTGTTGTACTCCATATAAGGTAGTGATTACACCACCAAATTGAATAATTGTATGATGGTCCAATCTCATCACCAATTATGTAATCTAATATTCACCATTGGTGAATTATAAGATCTCCTGGCGTGTTAGAGAGATTTAAGTATTCATATGTTATTATCTCATTAACTCCAATTTTTTTAAAATAAAAGAAAAAAAAAATAGTTATTGTCAATTAGAAAAGTGATAGCAAAACTTTATCCACTCCATGAATTTCCATATTTCCAAACACGAAACGCAAAGAACAAATGAGCATTCACATGAATGGCTATATTAAGATCTAATAAGAGTGAAAACATTATTAAACTTGTTTTCAAAAGTGTCAATATAATAAGTGTGACAATATCATTAAACTTATTTTCATAGAAAATGAAATATCATTTTATTATTATTTATCAATAAAAATACATAACGAAAATTATGAAATACGGAGTTTTTTTTTTTTTTTTGGGAAAATTAAAATGAAATATTTTACGTAGGCAAAAATTCACCCACGTAAATTATCGAAAAAAGAAAAAGAAAAAGAAATTCACCGACGTATCTATTTTGGTGATATTTCTATGTGGACACGTGTCCTCTTTTGCGAGAGTACTATACTACATTGAGGCATTTGCTGGTATTTTTAGTGCCACAACCAGAGCACGCCCCCACTCCCTGTTTATATCATTTTCAGAGAATCGGAGTCTGTTCTCTCTCTCTCTCTCTACAAGTATATACACGTATATTGAATATGTATCTTTAGGGTTAAGTAAGAAGTAAGGTGTAGTAGTGAATGCATATGCTTCAAACATCAACTTAAGAGGTATGATTCCTCTGTTTTTTTTTACATTTTCGTGTTTAAATTTAATGTTTGTATTGCATATTGAAATTACTTTTATGGAATCCACTAGAGACGATAAATGCACCATTTGATTCCAAAATCAAAAGTAAGTGTGTTGAAAATGCTAACATGGTGTTTGGTTAGCATTTCTATAATTGTTGTTTCGTTATCCATATTTGCTTTTCAAGAGCAGGAAGAATACTTCGAAAACTGCTAACCAAATACAGTAATGCTTTAGGGCTTTGCTTTTGATTCAATGACTATGGATTAGTCTGAAACTCTTTACATTTTTGTTAATGGGCCTTTTATATTAGGTTTCCAGTTGTTACCCACATACCAAACAGTGTAGCAATGGTATAAATGAAGTCTTCAGATGGTTATGAGTTTCATGGAATGAAAAGTTTGTAGATGGAAATGGGGTCTGAGGAAGCTAAAAGATTTTTTTCAGAAGTCGATTTCGGAGGCATGTACAGCAGAGTTGAACTTAGAGGTATGAATGGTAGGGTTTATGTCATCAGAGACGACAATTTGGCTTCCAAAAATGTCAAATCATTGAACGATAGGTCTAAGAAATCTAGGATTTCTGATGAGGTTAATTCTGGAGGGATTGGTAGGAAAATGGAAGGTGTGGATTCTGAAATTAATACTAAAAAGTTAGCAACTAGTGGGAGTAACTATCTTAGTGCCGCTAAACGCAGAGAGTTGGCGCATTCGGTGGTGGGGGATGGAGGGCAAGCAGAAATTTCTTCTAGAGCGAGAACGGGAAACAGAGGAGCAAGAGAGAGACATGCCATTTTGGATTGTAATTTTTTGGATCCCAAGTCAGATGAAGGCATTGCGATTAAAATGCATGATGCATTGAGAGAAGAAATATTCACTTTGGGATACAAATATGAAGAGGGAGATCTGGTTTGGGGAAATGTTAAGTCACATCCGTGGTGGCCAGGACAGATGTTTGATGAATCATTTGCTTCTCCGTCAGTTTTTGCTAGGAAGAAAGAGGGTCATATTTGGGTTTCGTTTTATGGTAATAACAGCTATGGATGGTTGAAACCAGCAGATCTCATCCCTTTTGATGCTCATTATGCTGAGAAATCAAAGCAAACAAATGCTCGGAAATTTTTAACTGCAGTTGAAAGGGTTATGGATGAAGTCAAAAGGAGAGCTGCACTTGGCTTGGCTTGGCTTGTCCTTACCAGTTCCTTTCTAATTTTCGGCCTACAAGTGTTCAGGGTTTCTTTGAAGTTGATGTGAGGGGCTATGAACCTGAAGTTCTGTATTCACTGAAGCAGATTGAAAAGGATGTGAGGGGCTATGAACCTGAAGTTCTGTATTCACTGAAGCAGATTGAAAAGGCTAGAGATGATTTTCAACCAATTAAAACACTCTCTTTCATACGGAAATTGGCATTAGTGCCTCGAACTGATGTTCAAAGAGACATCAAATGGATGAAAAACGTAGCTCAAGTTCGTGCTTATCGAATGGCAGTGTCTGAGGAGTTTGATGAGACCTATGCTCAGGAATTTGGGAAGCAATCAGCAAGGGCTAAAGATTCAATGGTGGTTTTAAAGGACCAGGAAAAGATGTTATTGGAAGGTATAATTAATTTGTTTTTTCTTCACAAGTTTTCTTCTAATTGTGTTGTTGCATTATATTCTTTTTGGGTGTTTGCCTGTTTGTGTGCTACTGGTTGTTTTTTTGCTTTGTTGCCTTGTTTCATACATAAAAGTGTAATGTGCCACCTAATAGATCGATGTTGATTGCGTTGTTGCATACTCCTTGACGAATTGCCTTCAGTTTCTGGCCATTGCACCTATAATTGCTGCTCATCGAATTCACTGATAACTTATAGTGGCCTTGTCAAATTGGAGTCATTTGGTTGACTGCTTCCCAATAGTACATGTTCCTGTACAATTATAATTTTTGCAAAAGCAATACTCCATAATTGCTTTAGTATATCCTTCACCTCCTTGCAGAGAAGATGACTTATCTCCATGGGGTAGCTTTCAACCAATTGAATCCCAGCCTTCACCTCAGAATAGATGGCTTCTCTCCATTAGAACAAATTGAAACAGATAGCACATCTTCAAAGGAGCTTCGTCAGATTGGGATGTTAAAAATGATATGGGAGGAATCAGTGAGTTTGTGGGGGGAAGAAGGTGAAAACCAAATGGGGAGAGTGAAGGTTCAAGAGTTGAGCTTCTTGAACGCAGGGAAGTTTTCTTTCTTTGATGACACCACAGTTGCTTGCACTATGGAATCTTTTGAAGATGGACCTCATAAAGGCTTGTCTGTTCATAGATTCCTTTCTGACCAACAAGTCAAAGTGTATGGCACAAGAAAGTCTTACTCAGCTCCTGCTCCTTCTGGTATATATACATATCTCTGTCTCTTTCAATTGATGTTAATCTCTAAATTGTAACCTATAAATACATAACAATCTCTATGTGTACTGACTACATGTTTCAATTAATGAATTTAATATAGTATAACAAATTAGTATACTATATTGAACCCGTGGGCTGTGACCTTCAGATCACAATGGAGAGACACCTTTCCCTTTTTTACTAAGTAGACTAATTATTCCTATAAAATTTAATATTATTGTTCCATGCTTAATGCCACATTACGCCCAAGTCCTAAATTCAACCAGGCACTCTAAGATTAGAACAAGAAAAAATAGTTCTGCCTCACAAATTGCAAGGTAAGTATTACATTTGTATTCATAAAATTATAAGCAGTTTAAATTGACAAGATTCTAAAGACAAGTATTAGATCATAGTAGCGTTAATCAGGTGTATAGCAACTGGGCGTCGTCAGTTGCTTCATCAGCAGAGCGTTAGTAATAGGGGGGTTGTTCTTAAGTTTTGTAATGTCTTTAATCAGGTATATAGGATGAAAGTGGTTATATGGTGTGGGATGTTTTTTCTTCTTTTTATTTTTTGGTTCTGGAAGTGGTCTTTCTCTAGTGTTGAGAGAGGGTATGCCCTTTTTCTTGCTTTGTAACTTTGTTGTCTTATAGTTAATAAAGTTCACTAAGGGATAAGAAAGAAAAAAAAAAAAAAAAAAGGCATGATTTAAAAAGCTCTGAATTTGACACTGGGAACTTTGTCTTTAAATAGAGCTGAAGTATTAATCTTGGATTTATCAAATGGAACTGTATTGTGATTGATCCTTTTTAGAGGTTACCTCTTAAAGAAAGTATGCAACTCCTTTATGAAAGGGCAATTGGAAACCCAAAAATTCGAAGAAATTTAAGACTTGTGCTCAAGGGCCTTGGTATACCACGTGGTCTTCTGAAAATAACACCAGATCATCACATAGATCAAATGTCTCAGGCGCAGGCTGAAGAAGAGACATAAGAACCGTTCCTTGCATTTGGTGAACAAAATTCTGAATGTAATTTCACCATAGGTCCATATCTATAATTTGATAATGATCAACGGGTTGTTATTGAGTCATTAGTAAACCTATTCTCTTTTCTTTTCTTTCTTTTCTTTTTTTTAAAAAAAAAAAAAAAAAAAATTCACATTGTTCTGGTGCTTAAATAAATTTATGTATGTTTGTGATTTATATATATTAATATTGCAGTAATTCTGCAACTTGTGTTGGTGCAGCTATTCCTCCATTGGAACTCAAGGACCCAACTGAGTACTACTTGGAGCGTCTACGAGTTCCAGAACAAACACTACCAAGCTTGCATGAGCTCTGGGGGAAGTTACGAGAGCCACCGCCTGTGGAGCTTCGTTTCCCACTTCATAATGATGTGTTCAGAGAATTGCCTCCAGGGAAAGAAAGATTCTTCACTACCTCGGAACAATTAGATTGTAAGGCTATCACATTTGACATCCTAGGCCCAATTATCCGACACCCTTGTCTCATTAGTGTCACTGCTGGCAGTAGAGATTACTCCTTTATTGGCCTTTTGGATGATTGCATAAATAGGATAGTATCCAAATTTTGCTCAATGGAGATGGTCTTAATCTGGAAACCCAGTATTACCTCATCTTCCTTAGACACTTTGCAGGATCAATAGCCGAACCTAACCGATTTGATAAGAAATTTCTGTCTGTGGAGAGGAGATGAAACTGATTAATTAAGGTCAAGTGATATTAAACCCTCTACTTCAATATTGTTGAAGCATATGTGGACTTACATGGACACACCTTATATATTGGGCTACTATGCTGTTGGCCACAGGGTCACCCTCTGTGCACTGAGTCGGTTACATGATCGAACAATAAGGAATGATCTTTATACAGTGGACTTATCAGTGCCAGCAGGGAGACTAAACGCCCTAGTCCCATGTTGGAGAATTGCAGGCTTATTAACATTGTTGGCCGACCGATGCTCCAATTGCAAACTCTTTCTTTACAGTGATTTTGGCAGGATCCATTTGGGTAACGGCGATACATGTGAAATGACTCCGAACACGACGATTCGGTTCTTCTCCGAGCAGAGAGAATAGGTTGCTGTGAAAGCAATTTATGACTTCTTGGATAGTAAAATCCCCCACGCCGAAGTTATGGTTCGGTCATCGGAAAAAGATTTGGCATTGGTGTTTAACTCTAGAGGGTTCAAAATTAATCCCCAGAACTGTGACCAACTAGTGAAGGCTCTGATACACGTGACAGTGGCTTTGGTTGAATTGCATAAACTTTCTTTCATGCATAGAGACTTGGGGTGGGACAAGGTGATGATGAGGTTCAGAAACGGAGAGAAAGAGTGGTTCTTGACTGGGTTCGATGAGGCGGTGTCAACGCCGCGAATGTCCCCACGTGGAGGAGGAGGAGTTGGTGGTGCGCCGGAGATGGGGACAGGGTTGCATGACATAAAGGTAGACGGGTGGGGTGTGGGTCAGTTGGTGCGGACATGTGGGTTGTTGGGTGTGCCCGGGTGGCTCATAGAATTGCAGGACATGTGTTTGCAACCCTACCCGGACCACCGTCCGACGGCGGCTGAATGCCTCTACCTTCTTCAAAGAAGATATTAAGTGAGACGGTCACGTCATGTTATTGACAATCCTTATTTATGTTGTCTTCAATTTTTTTACCACATAATTTGAATGAGACAGGTATGTCATGTTATTGACAATCCTATGGCGTCTTCAAATATTTTACTACATAATTTGGTATCCCGGTCAGTGGATACAGGTGGATACCTGCTCCAGTAAGTCGCATTTCTCTTTGGGTATATATAATACCATATTTAAGTGTTTTACTATAAACCTGTTCAAGGGTCAATGGATATAGGTGGATCCTTGCTTTTGTAAGTCGCATTCTCTGTTGGGTTTTTTTCTTTTTCTTCTTTTCTTCTTTTCTTCTTTTCTTCTTCTTCTTCTTCTTTTTTTTTTTTTTTTTTTTTTTTTTTTTCTGAGATATATATAGTATGTTGAAACTATATGATTTACTTCTTAAATCTTGAGGGTGGGCGATTAGTGAAATTATAGTCAATTTGATCTTGTGACAATGCAAATTGGACCTCCATTTCATTCTTGGTAATTTATTCTTTGTACCTCCTGCCCTTGTGCTTTGTATTTATTCTTAGTTATATTGGTTGATTTACATAATTAAGTTGCTTCGGAAAGAATCAGAGTATAAATTCTTTTTCATTAGTTACTTCAAGTTTTCTATCATTTCGTTGTATTTCCGTCCTTGAGGATGGAATTTCCTTTCAAATGCTTTGAGTATTTGATTAATGTGTTTGGGCACAAAAGCCAATCATGTTTGGTTTATTTATTTATTTATTTATTTGTTAAAATGGGTAAGCTTTAATAAAAGAAATAAAGCGTACAGGGACACTTAGAAGAGAGTATCAAGGGCTGAAGGTTGCAGATCATGTTAGTATCACATTTTGAATCAGTAACTAAAAATTGTCACTATCTAAATTATGTTTTCAATAATTATAAATAAAATAAAAAAAGGCAAAATACCTTAATTTCTATCACCAACAGGAGGAGGCTAGGCTTGAAGAATTAATGTGTTCCCATTTTTTAATATAAGTTATTCTTGTGTCTGATACAGTTTCCAAAGTTTTCAAAGTCAAAAGCACCATTTTCAGGTTACTAAAAATGGTGCGACATAGAAGGGTACTGAAATTTTGAAGTACCACTAAATATGGGTGCATGAGCTGTTTACAACCTTTGAGCCCATTCTATTTCTAACTTCATTTTTTTGTTTCAAAAACTGAACAAAATGACAATTTAATTACATCTTTTTCGGTAATGGTGAGATTTCGTGTACTTTACTAGCAGGGACATCTTCAGAAAATTGTATAAGACTAAATGATTTTGAACAACAACAGTATATAATGGGATATTATTAAAATTTAAGTAGGGACGTTCTTAAAATTTTTACAAAAACAATAAGAATATTTTCAAAATTTTCATAAAATGTATTAATAACTTTGTAAATAAATAAATAAAAAATTCAATGAGGGGGCTGCCCCCACTAAACCCTTCATTGTCTCAGCAATTGCAGCACATGGTAAGAGTGTGAGACACATCATGATGGTCCAATTTCATCACCAATCATGCAATCTCTACTTTTCTCATTAGCTCAATTTTCCAAAAAATAAAAAATAGTTGTTGCGAATTATAAAAGTTATCACCATACTTTATTCCGTGCATGAATTTATTTTGTGAATATATTTAAAGTCCATCTAATACGGTATTATTAAAAAGGAAATGTAGAGAACAAATGAACATTCATATATAAATATAGATATATGTGGTAACTATATTAGCATCGATTTTTTCACTTCGTAAAAGGATAGTGATTAATGATATAACAAGTGTGACAATATCATTAAACTTTTTTTTTTTTTAGTTAAAGCAATATCATTAAACTTGTTTTGGGAGAATGCATAATTTTTTTTTTTTTACTCAAAAAAATAAAAAAAAGAAATATTAATGGCACTTTGAAGATGAATTTCACACAAAATATATCAATTTTTTTTTTTTTTTACTCAAAAAAATAAAAAAAAAGAAAAGAAATATTAATGGCACTTTGAAGATGAATTTCACATAAAATACATCAACTGTGATTAAGGGGGGTATGTGATCGGTAGAAAGTACATGGTCTCACATAATCTAATGATTTTTGCACAAAATATATTAAATGTGATTATTTGACACTTTGTAATTGGTCGGAACTGCATGCACTACCAAAAATTTATTTCATTGTTCCGGATTATGTGATTCCCAATTCTAACCAATTAAATACTGTCACGTAATTAAAAAATTAAATAAAATTAATATATATTTAAATTATGTGACAATATATAATCTACGTGGTCCCAGACACATGTCCTCTTCTGCACATAGCAGTATACTATACTGAAGCTTTTGATGGTAATGTTACCAGAGCACGTCCCTCAGTACCTGTTTATGCCACCACTACTATTATTCAGAATCTGCATTCTATATCTCTCTCTTTCTCTTTCTCTTTCTCTCTCTACAAATATATATAGATGTAAATTGAATATGGAGCATATATTTGGGGTTTAAGCAAGAAGTAAGGCGTAGCGGTGAAGGTATATCCTTTAGAAGATAAGCTTAAGAGGTATGTTATCTCTTTTTTTTGATACATGTTCATGTTCAAATTTCAAACTCATAAGTTAATGTTTGTTTTGCATATTGAAATTGCTTTTATGGAATTCACTAGAGGCAATAAATGCATCATTTGATTCCAAAAGCAAAAGTAGGTGTGTTGAAAATGCTAACATGTTGTTTGGTTGGCATTTCTATTCTTGTTTTGTTCTTCATATTTGCTTTTCAAGAGCAGGACAAACACTTTGAAAAATGCTTAATCAAATACAGTAACGATTTAGGGTTTTGCTTTTGATAAAATGACTATGGATAAGTATGAAAATTTCTACTTTTTTTTTTTGTTAATCTGCCATGTATACTAGGCTTCTAATAATTACCAACCTATAAAACAGTGTAACAATGGCTTAAATGCAGTCTTCAGATGGTTTTAAGTTTAGTGGAATGAGAAGTTTGTCAATGGAAATGGGGTCTGAGGAAGCTAAAAGATTTTCAGAAGTCGATTCAAGAGACATGTACAGCAGAGTTAAACTTAGGGCTGTGAATGGTAGGATTTGTGCAGGCAGAGATGGTAATTTGGCTGTCGAAAATGTCAAATCATTGAATGATGGGTCGAAGAAATCTAGGGTTTCTGATGAGGTTAATTCTGTGGGGATTCATAGGAAAATGGAAGATGTGGATTCTGTAATTAATACTAAGAAGTTGGCAATTAGTGGGAGTAACAATGAGAACGCCACAAAACGCATTAAGTTGGTTAATTCGGTGGTGGTGGATGGAGGGCAAGCAGAGATTTCTTCTAGAGCGAGAAAGGGAAACAGAGGAGCAAGAGAGGGAAATGCCATTTTGGATTTGATTGATGCATCTAGAGAAGAAAGATTGAACACTTCGGGATTAAAATATGAAGTGGGGGATCTGGTTTGGGGAAAGGTTAAATCACATCCGTGGTGGCCAGGGCAGATTTTTGAAGAAGCATTTGCTTCTCCTTCAGTTTTTTCTACGAAGAGAGAGGGACATGTTTTGGTTTCGTTTTATGGTGATAACAGCTATGGATGGTTGAAACCGGCAGCTCTCATCCCTTTCGATGTTCATTATGCTGAGAAATCAAAACAGACAGATGATCAGCCATTTTTAACTGCAGTTGAAGGGGTTGTAGATGAAGTGAAAAAAAGAGCTGCACTTGGCTTGGCTTGTTGTCACCAGTTCCTTTCTAATTTTCGGCCTACAAGTGTTCAGGGTTTCTTTGAAGTTGATGTGAGGGGCTATGAACCTGGAGGTCTGTATTCATTGAAGCAAATTGGAAAGGCTAGAGATGATTTTCAACCATTTAAGACACTCTCTTTCATACGGAAATTGGCATTAGTGCCTCGAAGTGATGTTCAAAGAAATGTCAGCTGGATGAAGAATGTAGCTCAAGTTATTGCTTATCGAATGGCAGTGTTTGAGGAGTTTGATGAGACCTATGCTCAGGCATTTGGGAGGAAACTAGTAAGGGCTAGAGATTCAGTGGTGGTTTTAAAGGACCAGGAGAAGGTGTCATTGCAAGGTATGACTAATTTGTTTTTTCTTTACAGGTTTTCTAAGGATTGTGTTGTTGCATTATTTTCTTTTTTGCATGTTTGCCTGCATGTGTGTGCCATGAGTCGTTTTCTTGCTTAGTTGCCTTGTTCAGAACATAAAAGAGTTATGTGCCACCTAATGCATTGGTCTTGAAGGCAGTTAAGGACTTTGACAGAGAGTTATAATAACTAGATTGTCTGAAATTTACACCTTTGAGTTTTATTAGTAGTTTTTTTCAGCTTAAACTATGGTTTCAATCTGGAGATATATATATAAATATATATATTGTTTGCTGCTTAGTTTTGGATACACGCCAGCAATTGCAGTGAGTTGAGCCAGCCATCCAATTATCACTTTGCTGTTCAACTTATAACCCCCTTACTAATGGTGCAACACTGATTGTTGCACTTTTACTGATTAAGTCATTTTCTAGTAATATGTTCTGAGTCTAGCTGCAAGTTTTTACTCCTAGTCTTCGAGTAATTATATATATATATATATATATATATATGTGTGTGTGTGTGTATATATTTTAATGGCATTGGAAAGAATCTGAGTATAGATTCTTTTTCATTAGTTACTTCAAGTTTTCATCCTTGCATTGTATGTTGATTCGTTGAACCTTAAGGATGGAATTTCCATTGAAATGATTTGGGTTTTTTATCACTACAATTGTAATTATGCTCTACTTCCTCCTTGACAATTGCCTTCAATTTCTGGCCAATGCCCGTATAATTGATACTCGTCGAATTCACTGATAATTCATGGTGGCCTTGTCAAATTGGAGTCATTTGGTTGACTGATTCTCAATATTACATTTCCTATACAATTTTAATTTTTGCAAAAGCAATTGTTCATAATTGCTTTAGCATGTCCTGGAATCACTTTGACAAGGAACCTATCATATGATGCAGTTTGATATTATCTGGTTACAGAGGGTAGACATAAACTGAAGTAAATTATAAGGAGGTTTCTTTTAGCTTGATCTTCGATGTGGTTTGTGTTGTCTTGTCAGGAATTATACATTTATACAGTAGCATTACAATTGACCTAGAGTATGTTTTTAACAATTTATTAATGTTACTGATATAATGAACGGATAATTGTTAATTGTACTTGTCTTGCCTTAGCTCTGGGTTACCAATGTCAGTCATTAACTACCCATGTTGACTGTATACATCTATTGCCATATGCAGCTTTGATTCACTCTGAAACAATAAAATTCCATGAATAGTTAAGAGTTGTCACCACTTCGAAACAGCTACATTTAGACATTATCCAAATGCAATTCCTCAGCTGTGTACAAGTTATGACCAAAAGTATTTTTTACAAAGTGAAGAGCACAATTTTCTTTATTGGTTCTTAGGAAATGGAAACAAATCACTATGGAGCTTGGAAGCATGGGTTATTTTATCGAATTAATTGTTTTAGTTGACATCTCATTGCATAAAATGTCTTCATAAATTATCATTTTCTAAATTCTAGCATAGGCAGACTCACAATAAGATTGCATTAATTTTCTTAAATGGCACATCTTTTGGCTCATCGATGATATATTGTTTTTCATGTCATTTTAAGTTTGGTGTGCATTCATGCCATTCAGAATGTTCAATTTGATTTTTTTTTTTGCCCAAAGTTTTGAACTTGTTCTTGCTTGCAGCTTTGTGATTGACATGTGAGCTTTTCATGGGTTTGAAAATTAATGTGTTTGGGCACAAAAGCACAAAATGGTTTGGAACTAATTTCCCCAATGCATTATTTGGGAAATTCAAGGAGACTTGATACTCCAGAAGTTTTAGGATTTTTTTTTTGACACCCTTTGGTAGTGGATGATAGGTTTTTGTTACTGTTCTGCATATCTTTGGGGTCTCTTTGAACTGTTCATGCAATTTACTTTATGGGTGCAAGCACATTATTAAAATCTTAGATCTCCATTAGGGAAGTTTGTATTCTGTTGTTTTAGGGAGGGTTTAGGGGGTGCCTTTGAGTCCATTCTTGGTCTCTAAATAATGTGGATCTTCTCACATAGTGCTTTGGTGCTTGTTGATTGAAGCACACTCTAGACTGGAGCCCTTTTGTTCTCTTTCATACAGTGCATTTTGTTGCTGCAGACCTATTGAGTAGTCAACCCATGATTGCTGATGTCCTAGGCGAAAGCAAGGGTTCTATGAAGCCTGTAAACGTGGAGGCAACGCCGAAGAAAGACAAGATTCTTTCCAAATGGAGGGATGAGCAGAATGTTACAAGAGATCATCGCTTGAGCAAGGGCTCTGTAGATCATATCTTGCAAAAGGGAGCTCCTCCTTCTGCCATGACATCTGAATTCTCAGGGAAATACAACCCACATGGATTTGTTGTCAGGGATAATGCGACTCCGAGTCCTGGTTGTGTAGGCAGAGAAGCTTTGACTAAGGATAAGAAATCAGTACTTGTAAAGGCTACTTCAGTTGATGGTCAGTTGAACAAGGGTAATGTCAAGTCACCAACTGGATTCTCAGTTGATCCAACAACACAGTCGTCAACATACACCAAAGATTTTCATCGTGTTAGTTTGTCGGCAAAATCAGAATCCAGTGGTCCTCAGGAGAAAGGTGAGGAGCTAGTTGGCATGAAACCATATAGGATGGAATCATCAAACACATCTCAGTGTTTTCAAAATTCCCTAAAACATGAGCTACAAACGGTGGACGTGACTTGGGAATTATCACCTCTGGATGCCAAGTGTCATAACAAATTTCTTGTTACGAGTGATAATGCAGGTGACCAGAAGCCAAACATTCTTAAACATCCTGGGAAACACTTGCATCTAAATAAATCTGATATAGGAGAGATGAAGATGAAAGAAGAATCTGTCCCAGAGCAAAATCAGAAATGCCTCAAAACTAGAAGCATCAACGAGTTAACAAGAAAATTAGATAGGAAATCCTGTGGAACTGGTTTGTGTCAAAGAGAAAATTCACAGATCGACCAAGAGAGAAAAGGGAATGGAAACTTTAGCACCGTATATTCTGATTTGGGAAATTTTGAATGTGAACTTTCTGTATTAGTTAAGGATCTGTTAGTTCTTGCCCGGGATCCATTTTATGGGCTGGAAATCAACATTCATGAAAATGTACAGCATTTCGTCTTGCGATTCCGATCTCTTGTTTATAAAAAAAGCTCAAGTTTAGCCCCTTCAGCAGAGGCTAAAACGATGGATATTGGACTGATCAAGTCTCCTAACTGTAATGTGGCCACTGAGACCCCTCGTCATGTGAATATAAAGGACTTGCCTTCCGCCTTTAAACCATTAAAAAAGCGGTTCAGACTAGATGATCCTGCACAGGCCAGTGAAAATCATGGCACCTTTTTTTGCCAGGAAGAGACATACATGAAGAGGCTAGATAGATCGAATGAGATGAATTCATTGACTGCAGAAATGAAGGATGGTGATCAGAAGCATCCGAAGGTCCAAAGAGAAGATGAAAAAAAGATCGGGGTGATTGTCTCTGCAAATCCAGTAAAAGATTCTCCCATGAAACAAGAAACTGTGACTGGGGCTGCTGAACCAACAATGCTGGTGATGAAGTTTCCTCCTCATACAGGATTACCTTCAGTTTCAGAGCTAAAAGCAAAATTTGGACGGTTTGGATCCCTTGATCAATCTGCCACTCGTGTGTTTTGGAAATCATTAACATGCCATGTTGTGTTTCAGACCAAATATGATGCTCAGGCAGCATACTATCACGCACTTCAAAGCAGAATCCTGTTTGGCAACCGAAAGGTACATTACCATTTGCAGGCCTTGGATGTTTCAGGATTAGGGTTACTTGAATCAGGCAAGTGGCTTGATGAAGAAGCTTCCGGTAAGTTTCCACCTTTGAGGTCCACGAGCGCTAGAGATTCAGCTGGTGAAATAAGGTCTACTGCACTGCAGCAGATAGCTATGCCTCCAGGGGTCCAGCTAAAGTCATGTCTGAAGATGCCAACAGAAGATGACAAGGAATCCTCACCAAGTGTCTTGACTAAGATCTCGCGTGTAAAATTTATGTTGGATGGGGATGGAGATGACAAGGGAGGGAAACTTTTGCTTGGTAATAGCAAAATCAACAACTCTGTCGGTGGTGATTTTTCCAATGTTAGTGCATCATCATTTTTGTAGAAACTTCAATAACAGCACTGAAATCTTTCCAAGGACCGACTCTTGGACCTTGCCGCCTCACTTTCTTTTTTCTTCCCATATGCTGGATTTGCAGGAAAATGATAGAATCAATCACTTTGTGAATGTTATTAACGAGAAGTATCACCAAGTGGAGGCGAGGAACAGACACACTGATCACACCACCACTGGCACCACCCACGTAGACATCTCCCACGAGATGCTGAACCTTTTAAGGAGTTGCAGTGACATTGTGGCTGATGCGAAGCGTTCATTTGGATATGTTCCTTACCATGCTCTCTGATGATGACTTGCACAATTCAACATCATGATTGGACTATGCACGCGTGCCATTGATTATCTCCTGCACAGCCAATCTGCAATGATATGAAGGTACAGGTATATAGTGAACCAAAAATATATTAATGGGACAAAGCTAAGACTTACATAGGCTCTGGATATTGGTATAGAAAGAGCAATACAGATAGTAAAAGGAAATTTATGAACCTAAAATTTTAGAAAACATATAGATTGGAAAAAGATAGAATATAGTAATGTTTTTATCTATCTTTAGTTGTTTATATTTTGTTTCAGTTGTTGAGAACCTGAGATACCGCATATATAAGTAATTAGAAGGAAGTTATAGGAGAAAGGTTTGACGCCTAATATTTCTCTGTTTAGACTTTAGTCATGTGAATGATTAGTTGCTTTCAATCTTCTGGGATTTATATTGTAGATATCATATGCCTCGATGCATCTAAATCTATTGGTTTAGCTGATTTTTGTGTTATTGAGATAGAGCTATACCATACATGATGCATGGAGTTGAATGATTTGTAGCGTCCAGTGAACACATATAAATGTTAAAGCTCGTTGTTGTTGTTGCTGTTTTTTTTTTTTTTTTTTTTGGCGACAAGAATGTTGGTTTGTTGATTATGTATTTTCATGCCTTGTTTGCTTGAATATTCATAACAGGGGAACAAAGGAAGTGACAATGAAAATGGTGATGAAGGGGGGGAGGAAGAAACCTTTCCCGCCACTTGCCCCTTTAAAAAAGCAGCTTTCCCACTAACCAAACTCATCTTAGACTCGTTGGTACAGGAATGTGAAACTATGGTGGGACTAAGTTGCAACTTGTCCCACTTGTACCAACATCCCAGGAGGACCTTTTTTATTGCGCCTTTTTCTTTCTTCAAGTGTAATGCATACATGGACCCTGCTCCTATCTGGCACATTTTTTATTTAAGTTTTTGTGCAATTATGGCTCCTTGTTGAGCGTTTAGGTAACACCTTTTTTAGGTAGAATTTTTTTTATTTTTTAGTGTTTGTTAAAGGTTTTGAAAGTATTTTTAAAAAAATATTTTTGATGTCTGACTTTAAGAAGTATTTTAAAATTAAAATCAAAATTCTTATTTGAGTCATTGATTATTCAATTTTTCTCTTATTATCCATTAGTCTAATTATTTTTATATTAGTAATAATAATTATTTGACAAACAATATAAAAAAAATAATCAATTGATTTTTGAAAAATTGATAAAGAAACCAAAACAAGTCTCTCTATCATCAAATGCAACAAGTGAGCTTTTTTTTTTTTTCTTCACTTTACATATCACTTTTTAAGGTTTTAGAAAGTAATAATATACGGCAATAATAATGATAAAGAAAATATAATAATAAAAGCAAATTGAAGAAACAAAAAAAGAAAAGAAATTATATTATTGTTGTTAAAGAAAAGATTGACCCTGTGCCTCTCACCTCATAATAGGTGTTGGCCTATTAGCTTTTTTCTTAATAGATGTTTTTTTTTTCGGTCACTAATCTTAGTCTCTTTCTCTCTCTAGACTCCCTCTTTATTTATCTTATCTCTTTCTAGACTGCCTTTTGGCCACCATGTAAATCTTCCATGTACTTGATTGATATTTTTTTTTTTTAGTTGGTACTCACACAGACATCTCTTTTGAGACTTGAACCCTTGATCTCCTTTTGGGAAGTAAGAGGTTGATACTGCTAGACCACTGGCCCGTTAATTACTTGATTGATATTTTCAATGCCTTATGTTTTTGTTGAAGAGATCTAGAGTGAAATTGAAAACAATTTTTGGAGGATTAATTGATAAGTTGTTTTGGCTTAGTTTTGAAAAATTATTTTCTTCGTAAGAGATTTTCTTTGAATTTGAGACTACCAAATTTTGAAAAACATGCTTAGACAAACGAGTCTAATTGAGAATGCAACACTATTAAAATAATGAGGGGAAAAGTGTTGCATTTTTGAATTGTATCTCAATGTAATATATTGTACAAGTGTTACATCATAATTGTAAATGCTTTAAACGTGTATCCTTCATGAGTGTTGCGTCGTCGGACTTGAAATGTATATATCATCATCTTGAGCACTAGAGAGAATCTTGATGCATTTGAAAGCACTCTTTTTGACAACCTTGATGACATCCTTGTGGTCACGGCAATGGACGATCAATATTCAACCCACATTCAAAGCCCACTAGAGAAGATGGAATACAGTCATATATATAGATATATTTTAAAGTCACATAATTTTTTTGAATGGGTGAAGTTTTGACATTTTGTTATAATTCAAGTCTCAAGCTCTTTGCGTTTTATTTCTCACTGATTTAAATCTTACATTTTCTCCAATCACTTTCTGTGATTTAGATTTTCTCCACTCTTGCTCCCTGCACTTGTATAAATTGAATATACCATCAAATATGCTATAATATCTTTTTCAATCTGCTTTTTCTTTTTAGGTTTCTTTTTCCAATCTCAAAACATGACCAAGTAAGGTGAAATGTCCATAAATTTTTTTTCCCCCAATAAATGTCCATTCGTAGAAAAATCAATTGGTTTATCAATTGGGTAATTCTGATTTCAGTTCTGCCATTGTTTTCTCAATTTTGTATAGTAGTCCCTAGTCTCTATTCGATTATTAGGTTTCTAGTACCTAAATTCATTAAAATTGTTCAAACTTCGGGTTAAACATTCTAAGAAGTCCTTAACCATGGTTAAAACTTAGTAATTAACCACCAATCAATTTAACCCAACCATGGTTTACGTCTCATCGCATTAACCGGACCACACGGTCAGACTTGACCGTGTAAGAGTTGACCTCACCTTTAATTGCTTCGTAAATAATAACCTCCATAGGTGTTGGGTTTGGTATTTGGGCATATTCCTCTCTGCTACATCCGCCTCTCTCTCTCTCTCAAACTCTCTCTCTGTATATCTCTTCTAGTATATCTCTCTCCGTCGAGCTTTCATTTCTCTGATTCGGATCAATATGGAGTACCGTACCTTAGAAATCAACGTTGTCTCCGCAAAAGACCTCAAGAAAGTCAACTTCATCACCAAGATGGACGTGTACGTCGTCGTTTCGATCGCCGGCGACTACAGCACCAAGCAGAAGACCATCGTCGACAGAGACGGCGACGACAACCCCACCTGGAACTTCCCCGTGAAATTCACCATAGACGAGTCGGCTGCCCGACAGAACCGCCTGACCCTCGTCTTCAACCTCCGTTGCGAGCGTACCCTTGGCGACAAAGACGTCGGAGAAGTGACCGTTCCCGTCAAAGAGCTCCTCGACGCCACCGGAGACGATAAACCCGTGCAATTCGTGAGTTACCAGGTGAGAAAGCCGTCCGGAAAGCCCAAAGGTCAGCTGAGCTTTTCCTATAAGTTCGGCGAGAAATTCGCCGGAGCAACGGCGCCGGCGGAGAAGAAATCTGATCAGCCCATCACAGCCTATCCCGCCGTTGCTCCGGCTGTGGGGACCAGTTCATTATACCCACAGGTGGCTGGGCCAGCAAGTGGTGGTCCGTACCCCGGAGCATATCCTCCTCCACCGCCGGTTGCTGGATATGGATATCCACCGCCGCCGCCATATGGTGGTTACCCACCTCCTCCACCACCACCGGGTTATGGGTACCCGCCCCAACCAGGATATGGATATACGCCACAACAAGGGTATGGGTATCCACAAGTGCAGCAACCGCCGAAGAAAAATAAGCTCGGGTTAGGGTTGGGAGCTGGTTTGCTGGGTGGAGCGATCGGAGGTTTGTTGATCGGTGATATGGTATCGGACGCAGCGGATTTTGATGGCGGGTGTGATTTTGATGCTGGGTTTTGATTTTAGTTTATGTTGGTCTGAGATTTTCATTTTCGCGTGTTTGGACTTTGTATGACGTTGATGTTTTGATTATTGTATCTATCTTTTAATCTTATATGATAGCATTTTTTTTTTTTTTTTTAGCATTAAGGTCTTACCGTAGAGGGAGGGTTCTTGAAGGTGCTCTATGTAGTAGATTGTAGATCCAAGCATGTTATTAAAAATAATAATAATTTTTTTAAAAAAAATAGTAATAGCACACACTTATGATCCCAAGTGTCGCTCATTTTCTTTTCGCTAGTCCAGTTAACTCCTAACTTTTTAACAATTGTCAGGTAAAAAAGTTAAAAAATAAAATAGATAAAACTTTTTAACAATTGTCAGGTAAAAAAGTAAAAAAATAAAATAGATGATTCAGTTCAATTGGGGGAAAACAGCTACTTAGCTCCATTGATTTCGGCCAACCTTCACTCGTACCATATAGCTGCTCATAACAGAAACAAACTAGTGAAGCCCGGCGAGTCGCGGAGACCCATTCTGGCTAGCTTCACAAGGTTCGGTTCTGAGACCTCCTCTCTTTTGTGAGTAGACATCTAATATGGGGCTAGCTTCACAAGGTTTGGTTGGAGACCTCTTTTTTGTGAGTAGACAGATATAGATAATATATAAAAGGAATATGATTAAAAATGATTTTAGAAGACTCAGAAATAAAAAGTCTTAGTCAGACAAAGTTTTTGAAATAGATAATTAATATGAGACGGAAATAGTATATCATTCCCTTGCTCAAGCTCTAAATCATTTAAACCCATTTCCTCATTCCCTTCACCAACCCTAAAATCTGGATCCAAATTCAGTTTTGTTGATGATTTTTGCGTGGCTTTGAACAACAGCCATTATTGCCTCGACATCCGGCGGCTCCTCCTCTTGATCCGCCACTGACGAGTAGCGACTCTCTCATTTTCCTCCAAACCTCCTATTTCTCTCTTTCTATATCGATCCAGAGAGTTTTGTGTCACATCGAATTGGATTCACAAGTATTGTTGAAAGTGGTATTTCAAATGGCCAGTTTGGGAATCAATATATAAATATACAGTAGATTTTCATGATTTTCGCCTTTAACCTTCTTAAATCCATGTTTTTAAAAAAAAAAGTAGATTTGACTTCATGATTTTGGTTTTTATCACCACAAATTTATTTATTTTTTAAATAATCCCTATATATATATATATGTGTGTGTATATATAACTTCTATTGATACTTTCTAATTGTTTCTATGTTTAGGATCTTTGAATTTAGACAATACTACATCCTCACTATTTAGGTTGAGTTTATCTTTAAATTTAGACAATAGTAGGTCCTCACTGGTGAGGATTTACAATATAAATAAATATTTATATTTTAATTACTAAATCATAAATAGTAAAATCAAATTATTATATCTGATTTGGTAAGTGAATATCTGCCCTGCTATATTTGATTTGGTAATTAAAAATTATATGTCCATTTATTATTTAATTTGGTAATTATATCTCTACATCAATAGTAAGTATATTGTAAATCCTCAAGGACCGAAGTATTGTCCGGTAATTATTTTTGGAAAAGGAAATGGTTGGGAATGTCTCTAGCATTTTCCATAACAATTTCCTTTCCATTTCCTAGAAATGGATATTTCTGTGGGAAAAAAAAAAAAAATGAGAATACGTAGAAAGTAGAGGAAACGTCAAAAACAGAGGCCCAAAAAACGTGGGCGTGGAAAAAGGACGGAAGGATCCAAACAACGTCTTGGAAGTACAACATTTTGCTTGTCATATTAACATGGAACATGACATGGTATTCTTTTTCCATGAACAAGTTTGACACTTAAAAAACTCCATTTACTATTATTTGATATAAGCTCCTTTTCATGAGGTGGACAAACTAACAACCGAAAGGCCAAGCATCGTTTGAGATGGCCTTACTACCAACATCCACTATAATACATACATGTATAAAACATATTTGTCATTCATTATTATCAATATGTAGTACTATATATTAATCTCAACAATAATATTAGAGTACTTTTAGGTTTGTTGACAGGTGGGTGAGACCTGATGTATAAACAAGTGAATAATCAATGTCTAAACTCAATTAGTCCATCTAGAAGATATTTTGAGTGTATATATATATATATAAATTTTGATTAAAAAAAAAAAGTCAAGAGTGAATAATTCACAACTTCGATTGTTTTAATATAAGTTAAGATAATCACTCACATCAAAGCAGTCCGTCCCACTACTTTAAAATTATTTTCCAATAAATTTTTGTTAAAACCTTATGTTTAGCTTCCATTGGTCCAACAATTGTTATCAGAAACTTGTAGTGGTGAACACGAAAAATTCAAGAAATGAAATAAAGAAAAGTAAAGAGACTTTTTACAAGGTAAAGTTACACATGTACTTTAAGTTAAAGTAATGGTGTATTTTAGTGTGCTTTTTTTTTATCCTTTAATATTTGAGGTGTTTGTTGTTCCCAAAATTATTACCAATCCTGCCCAAAAAAAAAATCTAATGCTGCAAATCTCAGAATATAAAACCAATAGATGTTATACATTCATACTCCATATTAAGTAAAGAATAAAATAGGTTGAATCGTTCTCCTCACTTTCTATAGTCCACCAAAAATGAAAATACAAAAATAAATAATAATAATTTAAATATAAGAGTGTGTGTGAGAGAGAAAAAGTAAAAATTTGGAAGTAAATTTTCGAATGCACTAGGCAAGGCTTTTAACAAAAATTGCTGCTTCAATTTCTGCAACTTGTGATTTTCAAACAAACATGCAACAATTTATCCCTACGATATTGGATTGCATAAGTGATACACAATTAACATAAAAATCACTTATAATAAAAATAAATAAAAAATTTAAAATTTCAAAATCACTAATAATCATCTATAATTGATTCACTTTTTCTTTATTCATAGTTAATGTGTTCGCTTTTATCATTCTCTCTCGTATGCTTATGACGACCTTTTATGCGTGTAGTCTTGTACATAGATCACACATCACAAAGAGATAATTGTAATAACAAATTCGGGAAAAAACTAATGAGATGCAACTCACTATAATTGCTAAAAGCTTTCTTTCATGTTATAAATTGTGCAGTTTGATCACATGAAAGTATTTTTTAAATGTTTTTTGAGTTGATTTTTTTAATAATGAGACCAACCATTATTTTTCATGCTAAAAATATATTAATGTAAGCTCCACCTAATGATAACTTTACTCTACAAATACTTTACCCAAATTAAGAAAACTCTACAAATACAAATAACAATTTCTTAATAAATTCTTTTATATTTTTCATCAAATAAGGATACGTGAAATTACCATATATCTATACATTGTCACAAAATAAAAAAATAAAAAAATAAAAATTCCCCATAAAATCAACCTGGAAGATGGAACAAGTATACTACAAATTAAAATAATAATTTTTTAAATAAATTATGCCATAGTTAAAAGGGCCGCGTGTGAATAACCCCCCCGTAGTATTCATATTGAGGGTATAACCCCTTACCATTTGTTAACCACCCCTTTACATAAAAATAGGTATAAATTAGCCCCTTTTGTCTGTTCAAAACTGCAAATAGACTTAAATACCCTTTTTCTATATGATTTTAAAAAATAATTAAACTAACATGAACTGTGAAAATACAAAAGAGGCCAAGTCAATACAACGTCGTTCATAGTTAGGGCATTTAAGATGGCTCGATGTCTTGATGTCCTTTATATTCTCACTTTATGCATAAAACACTCTCTCTAAAACATAATGTCTCTCTCTACAACAAAATAAGATCTAGGTTGTGTGCCGACTGCATATTCAATTTTTAGGTTCTTCACAGCTCTCCACAGCCATTCAGCCATTGTCGCCCACTGCTCTCCATAGCCCGCCATCCATCACAGTCGCGAACCGCTCGCCCATCGCCGGATTTGTCTCGCAGACCACTGTTCCTCTCACGGCCGAGCCCTCCACCGAGCTCCCCACTGTCCATCACGGGCCGAGCTTTCCACCACCATTCCGCGCTCTCTACCGCAAACCGTCCATCTCCGTCACCGTCTTTGCTGTTCAGCCCACCCGTCTCGCCGTCACAAATTGTTAAATTATAAAATACATTGAAGAGAGAAATAAAATAGAACAAAGCACGAATATAAAGTGGTTCAACCACTAGGGCTACATACAAAGCCTAAAGGGCTACATCAATCACTTTTTATTATGAACTCTCTTAATCATATTTACAAATACACACCTCTATTTATAGGTGAGTTGGAAAATAGTTGTAAATAAATAATAGCAAAGACTTGCTTTACAAGTATTTTTGTTTTACAAGAATATGATTATAAAGGAAAGACTTCAAAGAAAGTCAAAAGACAAATATAATAACAATCAATCAGTCCTATTAGGAAAATATAGTAATTTTAACACTCCGGTGGAACGTGTATGAAAATAACGTCCAGCTTGCATATCAAATCATGATTGAAACAAAAAATTTTCCAACAATTTGGTAAAGATATACCCAAGTGGACATAGGGTCAGCAAGAGTGAAGAACATGATTCTGAGCACTTCATCAGAAGTTCGGCATATAGCCAACAATATGCATTCAAGCATATAAAAAATAACTCTGCAGCGATAACAAGATGAAAATATATGATGATATTTGGTGTAGAGGCTCCCCTGATGATATGGTCACAAAGAGACTCCTTTGAAGATGTCATTATTCAGTTGACATGAAGAAGAAATGCACGAAATGAGGCAACGTGCAAAACGATGGCAAAAAATCAATAATTTTTGCCAAACACTTTAATAATGGAGAGAAAATCAATCAAGATGAAATGAGCAGAATAATGATCTAGAGTAGGGTACAATAAACCTACTCTGATACCATGCTAAAATATATAAAAACATTGAAGAAAGAAATAAAATAGAACAAAGCACGAATATAATGTGGATCAATCACTAGGGTTTACATCCATGACACACAAAGCCCAAATGGCTACATCACTTTTTATTATGAATTCTCTTAATCGTGTTTAAAAATGCACATCTCTATTTATAGGTGAGTTAGAAAATAGTTGTAAACAAATAATAACAAAGACTTGCTTTACAAGTATATTTACGTTACAAGAATATGATTATAAAGGGAAGACTTCAAAGAAAGTCAAAAGACAAATATAGTAACAATCAATCAGTCTTACGAAAAACTTGTTACTCAAAGTATAGTTTATTTTAACACAAATAACCTGTCTCCACCTCACCGTCACAGCCAGCCCGTCCTCACCACCATCCATTTGGTATTCTTCTACACAAGTTGTGAAGTCGAAGCACAGTGGTTTTTTTGGTAATGTTGAACATCTGAAGATGCTTGGTTGTAAAGATGGGACTTAAGGGAAGGGCAGTGCAATGCAGCGATTTAATTTTGATTTTTGTATGTCATGAACAAGTGCCCTTTGCGCTGATTTATTTTAACTTTTGTATGTCATGAGCAAGTGCAATGGTTCCAACATGTTTTGTTAATGATCAAATTGATTTGTTCCATCAAATTGATTTGTATGGTTTGCAGGTTTAATTGACTTTATTGGGAATGGTTTCCAGGTTGAATAACTTAATGAATGGTTTACAGGTTTCTTTTATGTATGAACAATACAAAATCCATTTTCATTCAATAACAGGTTTCATTTATATATAATTAATAGAAAATCCATTCAATAACCAGCAAACTGATAACAAAATTCAAAAAAGCCATAAGTATTCAACAGCGTACAAGTCCTATAACCAGTTGGAGGAAGAAAGATACGAAAATGGGACGAGAGACAGATCAGGGCCCTGTATATCCATATATATATATATATATATATATGAAGAATATTGTTAGGGGCAATTACTGAATATAAGGTTTTAAAATAGTGCACAAACAGCTATATATATGGAATTTGGAAAAGGGCATTTTTGAAATTTAAAATTTTAAAATAGTCATGTGCATGGCACACGACCAACTAATGGCCATTCTCTGCCGGAAGTTTGACAGGAGGAGGTTAGTTGCAACATTGTTTAATCTAGCGTGGATTTATATGCACAAAATAAATTATAAGAATGTAATGCGCACAAAAACAAAACTACGAGTGTGTTTTCCAGACTTTACCCAAGTTAAAATAATAATTTAATAGCTCTAGTTGCCGAAGGAATTTTTTTAGTAAATTCCTGGGCTAATTCACTTACTAACTTCATGGGCATGCCTTTCAACATTCACATCAGAATAGCCCAATTACCCCACTAGAATGATACCCTCCTGATTCGCAATTCGGGTAAGTTGGGCTGGTTGGAGGTAAAGTTTCAGCCCAACTTAATATACAAAATGTTCTAACTCTAATATAATTTTCCATGCTACTCAATTTCACCTAACTCAACTGAGATTTGGAGTTGGAAAGTCGGGTTAGTCATAAATAATAATAATAGTAATAAGTAAATAAATAAACAAATGTACAAACTTATGTAAATTTTTAATAAATTACAAATAAATTTTAAAAAGTTAACTCTTTTAGATACAATAAATCTCTAACCCTAACTCATGCTCATGATTTTAAGTCAGGAGGATTGTGGTTTTAGTATATAAGGTAAAAGAATAGTAAATATAGCTCTAAATAGGCATAGTATTATTCTAGTAAATTTAATATATGATTTTAAGTCAGGAGGATCGTGGTTTTAGTATATAAGGTAAAAGAACAGTAAATATAGCTCTAAATAGGCTTAGTATTATTCTAGTAAATTTAATATTATTATTTTTCATTATCATTATTAAAGGAGTGATGAAATTATACTCTACACACTCACCAATATATATAGGTATCATCCAAATTGAATAATTGAATATATACTTTTTTTTACTAGATCAAGAAATAAAATTTATGTTGAATAAATTGACTCTTTTGATTCGACCAAAAAGATAAAAAAATAAAATATTAAAAAAATTATCTCTTTTGACATGAAAAAAAAAAATCCCAAAAAAATATTTATTAAAGAAATTATATTTTTTTGTCAACATCCTGAAAAGAAAAGAATAAAAATATGAAAAGAAGAGGATTATATATTTTTTTTATATAAATTGAATAAATAATCTACTAAAAAAAAAGTTATTTTTATTTAATATATTATTTCTTTTGATATGATCTGTAAAAAATTATCAAAAAAAAAATAATAATAACTTTTTTGACTGAAAAAAAGTTAACTTTATTGAGTTGTTAAAAAAGAAAGGAAGCGATCATTTAAAAAAAAACAAAGGAAAATGAATGTTTTAATTATTTTTACTATTATATTAAATAATATTATAATTTCTATAAAATAAAATTATAATTTAAAACTTATATAATTTAGGATCTATAATAAAATTTGTAAAATAGAAAAGATATGTTCCTTTCCTTTTTTGTATCAAACTGTAAACTGTACTGAACAAAGGAAATTCCTTCTTCACTTTCTATTTTCTATCGACACCCCTTCCTTCTTTCTTACCGAAAAGAGGAGAATCCCCCTTAGGATAGGAAGGAACACTCTAGAACTTTCGTCTATATATATATATATATATATATATCTACTGTGCTCACAGAAAGCAAACCTACTCTGAAACTCAGTTACAATCGCCAGCATTGAAACCCTAACATTGAAGGTCAGATAGCAATGACGGATCCTAACTCATCCGCTCCAGACAATGTTCAGTCTTCTTCATCTACAACTTCGTATGTTTTTTAACTGAATTTAGTATACTTACATTCTCATATTGTACTTGTTCTGGATCCCACCTTTTATATGTTTATATGTTTTGAGTTTTGAACTTTTGTGTTTCATAAGCTTTTATATGTTTTGAGTTCGAAGTGAACAATGATTTTGAGTCTACATGGTTATTGTAGAAGAGATCAAATTTATTTATTTTTGATAAGTAGAAGAGATCAAATTTTGAAGGTTACGGGTTAATTAACAGGGGGAAATTGAATTTCTGAGCTTGGAATTTCTTTAAATTTAGGTAAGTTCATATGTGTGTACACATGCATGTGTTTGTGCTCTAGAATAACACAAACTGCTTGACGTGTCAGATGTCTGATAGTAACACAGTTTGGACTCTGGTAGCGCAATTATGAACACTATAGATTTTCATGAAAGAATTTGAATGATCTTTTAGAATTGTTTTACATCCAGTGGACTTGGAAATTAGGCTGCGTACTTCAGAATTGAATACTGAAACCAGCAAAACACATACATCTCTTTTTAGTTTCACTATCAACGATCAAAGCCTATCAAGCTTTAGAGAGTTGTGATAGAACTATAAATAATTTACACTAGATACGTGGAAGACTTTTTGAGAAGGGTAAAACTTTTTGGGGGGCAATTTTATAATTATGCAAAACATGTATATAAATTTAAAACTCCCTTTGTCTCCTAGGGCACACTCATGGCTCCATCATTGGTTGTCAACGAGGTGGGTTTGTTGTTGTGCTCGTCTTGGGTACATAGCTCGAGCTGACATTGACCTATTTATTTGAAGACAATCTTTTCCATGTTGATATTATGAAATTTCTTATGTACCGGTTCAAATTAAAACTTATATGATAATTTGTATTTGTGCTTTGTCATATGGGTTTAGGGAAAGAGGGAAAGAAAGAGAGACCTGTTGATTTACTAATGCGGGTTGTTGGGAGGGGTGGACTGAATGTAGTCCTAAGTTGTAACCTCCCCCACCCCAACAAAAGACTTGAACCTGATTTTTCATGTTTTGTAGGTTAGGATTTTCAGTGCACCACATAATGGCTCCTTCATTGTATGAGTTCAATTTGCATAAATTATTAATTGCTATGGGTTCTCATTCTTGTATGATTTTCCATTGTTTAGAAATTATCTAGTTGTTGGATTTCTATTTATATTAAAACAATTCATCTGTTGTATTAGGAAAAGTAATAAGAGAGATTATTCCACTGCTATTTTGGAACGCAAGAAGTCCCCCAACCGTCTTATTGTTGACGAAGCCATAAATGATGATAATTCTGTGGTTTCCATGCACCCTACTCAAATGGAAGCTCTTCAGCTCTTTCGAGGAGACACAGTTTTGATCAAGGTGATTTTCCTTTTCTGTTTTTCCTATCCAAGGTTGGATTTGCTTTTGAGAGTTTACAAAGAATCTGTCTGTGATACAGGGGAAGAAACGAAAAGATACAGTATGCATTGCTATTACCGATGAAGAATGTGAAGAACCCAAAATTAGAATGAACAAAGTTGTTAGAGCTAACCTCAGGGTACGCCTTGGAGATGTTGTGTCTGTCCACCAATGTCCTGATGTGAAGTACGGAAAGCAGGTTCACATTCTTCCTATTGATGACTCCGTTGAAGGTCTTACAGGCAACTTGTTTGACGTATACCTGAAGCGTAAGTCTACACTGACCTTTTTTTTTTTATCATTATTCTGTTTTCTCATTCTCACTCTGTATTATGTTATCTAATTCATCTCTGATTTTGTTTGATTATTACTTCTTGATACAACAGCATATTTCTTAGAATCTTACCGACCTGTGAGGAAGGGTGACCTTTTCATAGTTAGAGGTGGAATGCGCAGTGTGGAATTCAAAGTAGTTGAGACAGATCCCGGTGAATATTGTGTTGTTGCACCGGATACAGAGATCTTTTGCGGAGGAGAACCCATCAAGCGCGAGGATGAGGAGAGATTGAATGAAATTGGCTATGATGATGTAGGCGGTGTAAGGAAGCAAATGGCTCAGATCCGTGAGCTAGTAGAACTTCCTCTAAGGCACCCACAGCTCTTCAAGTCAATTGGTGTGAAGCCCCCAAAAGGTATCTTGCTTTATGGGCCACCTGGGTCTGGAAAAACTCTGATTGCTAGAGCTGTAGCTAATGAGACTGGTGCATTTTTCTTCTTAATAAATGGGCCTGAAATAATGTCAAAGTTGGCTGGTGAGAGTGAAAGCAACTTGAGGAAGGCATTTGTGGAAGCTGAGAAGAATGCCCCATCTATTATCTTTATTGATGAGATAGATTCCATTGCTCCAAAGCGGGAAAAGACACACGGTGAAGTGGAGAGGCGTATAGTATCCCAACTCCTGACCTTGATGGATGGCCTCAAGGCACGAGCTCATGTGATTGTCATGGGGGCTACGAACAGGCCCAACAGTATTGACCCTGCTCTGAGGAGATTTGGTAGATTTGATCGAGAGATTGACATTGGTGTACCAGATGAAGTGGGGAGATTGGAAGTTCTTCGGATCCATACAAAAAATATGAAACTTGCTGAAGATGTAAGATTCGATCTACTGTTTTCACATTTACTGCTGCACTACTATCGATACTTGAACCAATATGATCTTTTTTTTTATTGATACTGTTTTACAGGTTGATCTTGAAAGAGTTTCGAAAGATACGCATGGTTATGTTGGTGCAGATCTTGCTGCTCTATGCACAGAAGGTGCTCTTCAATGTATAAGGGAGAAAATGGATGTGATTGATTTAGAGGATGAGACAATTGATGTTGAAATATTGAATTCCATGGCTGTGACTAATGAGCACTTCCAAACTGCATTGGGGGCTTCGAATCCATCAGCCTTGCGTGAAACAGTAAGGCTTTATGATCATCTGCGTCTGATTTTAATTTGAAAATATCTGTTTTGAGTGCCATTTGTTTTTAAGGAAATTAGTCTGGTAGAATATATGGAATATATATTTAGTAACTGTCTAAGATTGACAATATAATAATAACACTTCCAAATCAAGGGATTGTCCAAAATAATAGTTTTTGATATTTAGGATCAATAATACAAAAGGACTAAGAGATAGATTATAACATAATTAGTAGAAGTGGATAAGGTTGGACAAAATGTTATATGTGATAAAAGAATATCAAATAAATTTAAAGGACTAGTATTAGGCCAGCTATCTTATTATATGGAGGAGAGCTGTTGAGCTTTTAAAAAAGAAATAAGAATAAAGCATTCATGTAGCTGAAATGAGAGCACCTATTAATGATAGAATAAGAGAAAGTAGAGTTGGATGGTATGGATTTATACAACGAATACCTATAAATGCACCAGTAAGAAGAGGATTAAATCTCATACAAGATGAGAGATAGAGAGATCAACCAAAAATAACCCAATATTATCCACACACACAAATAAATAAATAAATAAAAAATGGACTTTTTTTTTTTTCCGGGTATGCTCCCCTTTTGAGCACCTTTCAATGAAATTTTACTCATTAAATTTTTTATTAGAAATGATTGTTTTTAGTTTGGCAGAACATATCTATTTTTCTGAGCAATGGACTCGTTTGAATGCATGCACAGTTTCTTTTATTTAAGATGTTAAGTTTTCCTTTGCATAAATTGATTATATAGTTCTTTTGAAATTGAGAATTGGTTATTGGCTACTAGGAGTTGTTTCAAATGTTTCCTTGGTGTTGTTAGATAGTCGCATGAACATAACAAACATGGCTTATCTTGGTTGCAGGTTGTGGAGGTTCCTAATGTCAGCTGGGAGGATATTGGTGGATTGGACAATGTTAAGAGAGAGCTTCAAGAGGTATATTTATAATTCATAAGTTCATAGTTTCATTTTTATGTATACTACGAACTATTTTTTTCCCCCTGAATTAATATATTATCTTGTAAATTCTCAAGTTTTCATTTACTTGTCTCTCTCTCTCTCTACTTTAGTTGACTAGATTTTCATTAGTGGTTTTGTTAACTATTTTGCCCAAGATGACTGTGTGATTACATAACAAATTTGTGATTGCTGGCAGACTGTCCAATATCCAGTCGAGCATCCAGAGAAGTTTGAAAAATTTGGCATGTCACCTTCTAAAGGAGTTCTCTTTTATGGACCTCCTGGCTGTGGCAAGACTCTACTTGCCAAAGCAATTGCTAACGAATGTCAAGCCAACTTCATAAGTGTCAAAGGACCTGAGTTACTGACAATGTGGTTCGGAGAAAGTGAGGCCAACGTTCGAGAGATATTTGACAAGGCACGTCAGTCGGCTCCGTGTGTACTTTTCTTTGATGAGCTTGATTCCATTGCCACTCAGGTACCAAATTCTAAGCCTTTCTCAATAAGTTAATCTTTTGGTAACATGAACCGCGTCAGAGGTTGTATGCTCAATTGCTCATTGACTGATATAGAGCTGTGACTTTTCACTTAATTCTTGTTGCATCACATTGATTTACTCCTGCAAATTATTAATCTCAATCATGCTCGACCCTGTCCCTATCTCAGCGTGGCAACTCGAGAGGAGATGGAGGGGGTGCTGCTGATAGAGTTTTAAACCAACTATTGACAGAAATGGATGGGATGAATGCGAAGAAAACAGTTTTCATCATAGGGGCAACAAATAGGCCAGATATTATTGATTCGGCATTGCTCAGGCCTGGACGTCTTGATCAGTTGATTTACATCCCACTACCGGATGAAGCTTCCCGTCTTCAGATCTTCAAAGCATGTTTGCGCAAATCTCCAATCTCCAAGCATGTTGACCTGTCAGCTCTTGCACGGTACACACATGGATTTAGTGGTGCAGATATAACTGAAATTTCTCAGCGTGCCTGCAAATATGCCATCAGAGAAGATATTGAGAAGGTAAAACAAATTTTCTTTAACTTGATGTACCTTAGTTGCGTTAGCTTGCATATGTCAAAATCTATCCATTATTTTGAAGCAATAAAATTAGAGGTAATGAATATAGCTGGTCTAATAACACAATTCGCAAGCTGTTGGCATGACATCTACAAGGGGGAGGTGGGGCCAGTCTGTCAGGGTTCAAATTCTGTCGCCTTCAATTAAGAATTGGCAGATAGGAATGCGAAGAGACAGGCCCTCAGTTGATTGGTCATGGTCGTTTATGTTAGTCATACCCTCCTTTTTCTTTATTTATTAAATTTCAAAATGTCAACATAGAAGTTTGTAACTAACCCACAGCACAAAGCCAGTTGCTTTGTGCACAGGAAGTCAACAGCATTCGAGAGAATGGATATCTTCCAGGTTCATCATTATTTGTGAAATTGTGATTTTATCCCTACTTGAAAACTCGCCCACTTTGTCCCCATGGGGAACCCTTCACCTTCTAAAGATGCACTGCCTGTGTTACAGGGGTGACCTTTGCATAAATTTTTTTACTCCATATCTGCATTTGAGTTTTAGGAACATTACTTTGTTTTTTCTAACCCCACTTTTCGCTTTTGCCCCTTGTATATATACTGATGTTAACACCTTGGGGATGGCAGGATATTGGAAGGAAGAGAAAAAGGATGGAGAACCCTGAAATGATGGAAGAAGATGATGTTGATGATGTCCCCGAGATTAAGGCAGGTCACTTTGAGGAGTCGATGAAATATGCCCGACGAAGTGTCAGTGATGCGGACATTAGCAAGTATCAACGTTTTGCTCAAACTTTACAGCAATCTCGTGGAATTGGATCTGAGTTTCGGTTCTCAGATCATGCTGCAAGGACAGTTGGAACTGCAGACCCCTTTGCTTCTGCCACTGGTGCTGGCGATGATGAAGACCTGTACAACTGAACTGAAGTCAATGCAATCTACAGATTTAGCAGTTGATGTGTAGCATCAACTTCTTTGACAGTAGGGAGGGAGGATATCATAAGTTTATAATACTAGTTAGGTATTGTCCTTCATACTTGTTCAGTCATATGAGGAGTCGTGCAGGCATGATACAATTTGGGGGAGAGAGAGTTAACACAAAGGTCAATTGGGGGATTTAACACTTCAACACAAATGGGTAGTGGTCATTTTATTTTTTAGATTTTTTCAGTCAAATTATATTCCATTTTTCTCTAACAGGTTAGTTATTCAATGCCCCCAACTTTTAAAATTTGACACTTAATATTCTCATATATGCAATTTTGGGGAATATACGAATTGTTTATATATCGTGGCTTGTGTAACTTGTGTTGTGTTATCTGTTATTTTCTTTTTCTTTTTTATTCTTTCTTGGAGGAAAAATCCTACAAAAATTAAGAATAAAAAACCCATAAAACTTCATATATATATTTATTATTTTGAATTAAAGCAGAATTTAAATGATACTCAATTACTCATGCTATATTTGGCAGTATGAAATTGAAGTTTTAGAATTGGAGAAAATTTTTGAATTATTTTTTTTCAATTTCAGTAATTTCAATTCTAAAATTACAATTTCAATTTCAAAATTACAATTGCATCCTGCCAACATAGCAATAGTGGTATTTCCTATAAAATCTTTGCATGTGTAGGACGGAGGGGAAGTCTAGACAAAGCAAAGTTCAAGTTTCTTCCAATAATAAAAGGCCAAAGCAGCTGTTGTCATTCCAATGTAGATTTATGGAAGAAATTGGTATCGTGTTTTCCAAAGCACTTGCTTTAATAATAGCACGCCAGTTTTGTTTTACAGTAGCATTAATAGTCCAATAAATAAGGCACAGTCAACCAACACTATTGATTAAAACAAGCATATATATATATATATATATATATATATATATATATATATATGACCATGTTGGAAAGCACAACATGGTTTTGAATATATATACAGTATATATATAACCACGTTGGCAAGCACAACATGGTTTTGAAGAACAATATAAATAAAACAAAATTAGTCAATCTAGAAAGTAGAATCTTTTTACAATATTGTTTTGTCTTTTTTTTTTTTTTTTTCCCCCAATTACAGGACAAACACCAAGCCCTTGCATTCACGAGGCAAATGGCCCAATTGTCTTTTTTATTTATTTATTCAGACAATGTCAGCAGACACCACCGAATCTTACTTTTCAACGAATCTGATAAAGAAAAAAAGAAAAGAAAATTCAGAGTGTTTGAAGCCTTTTAATTATGAACAATTTAATTTGTTTTGGTTACAAATAATTTTTTTTGGAAGGGTTGCCTAAGTACCTACTAAGAAAATATATATAAACATTATGTTCATATTAAAAGAGGGCGGGTCTTAGTGTCACGACAAAATTATTATATTATAATTTGAAATTATGGGTTCAAAAAAATAAAAAATATCTCTGTATCAGAAGGTAAAATTAAGTACATTTAATTCTTTTAGATCTTACGATGACATGAGTCTCATCCACTGGATTTGTTCCGTTTTGATTCATATTAAGAAGAAAGTCTTAAACAGTCTCATCTGATGATATGGTTTACACATGTATTCACAGTCTATCACCCAAAGAAGGCTAAGTTGTCACATTTGCAACTATACAAAATAACAAAACACTACAATGAATCTCTTTGTAGTTTAACCTAAAATCCTAATCGAGATAATTCCATCTCTTAGAGCTCAGAGAATTTTATTCCTTGAATGGATTGAATAATTAAAAAAATTTATGTTAAGATTTTTTGTTAGACTATTAGACCATAATAACATTGTCTAAAATTAAATGAAATTCGAGAAATATATTGCGGAACAATTCAGCCTAGTACTGCAAAGTTTTTTCACTTTCTCCCGTGCAGAAAAAGATTCCTATTTTTTTTTAATTCAAACTAATAAATATATATGGAATCCAACGAAATTAATTCAAACTCTTAAAATTAAGGATTAAATAAATTAATAAATAACAAAAAAAATAACTTGAAACTTTAGTTTCCCAACTAGCTTCAAGTTTGTCCAATTGGCAGGTCTGCTCCCGTCATAGAGCATTCACGACCCCTCCCCACTAACCCCACTCACCTTTAATATTCTTTGGCATGAAGAAAAATAAAAAAAATAAAAAAATCAACTATTTGGGATCAATTAGCTGGGCCACCAACTTGGGAGGGATAAGGGTCAACTCAAATCAAACTTTGGACCTGATTGATTTAATTTTCTAAGGGCATGTTTAGTAACATTTTTACTTTTTAATTTTTACTTTCAATTTCTAAAATTGTAAAGTAAAAATAAAAATTATATTTAGTAATATAATTTTACTTTTTACCTGTTAGAAAGTACTTTCAGATTTAATGAAGGAAAGAGAAAGTGAGGATTGGTTACTTTCCCTACTTTCTAAACTGTTCACAAGAAGTGTTTTCTCTACTGTAGCGTTAAAAAAAAAATTATTATCACCAATCGGTCCACGCTGCCTCCCCTGCCCATGGCCGCCGGCCTATCGCCACCACCATCACCTCCTCCCCACCATAGCCACTGTCACAACCATCTCTCTCCTCTCTCATAAGTTTTGCGAGGTCAGATCTTGAAACCCCAATAGAAGGAATGAAGAGAGAGAGACTTTGGGATGAACTCCTGAGAATTCCAGCTAAACCGTGGCGGGAAGTGGTGATCGGAGGGCTTGCCGGAATCTGCAGAAACTCGTCGAAAGTTGCAGAGATCCGGAAAAAATAAATACATAAATAAAATAAAATGAGAGAGAGAGACTTTGGAATGAACTCCAGAGAATTCCAGCTAAACCGTGGCCGGAAGTGGTGATCGGAGGGCTTGCCGGAATCTGCAGAAACTCGCCGGAAGTTGCAGAGATCCGGAAAAATAAATAAATAAGAAAATAAAATGAGAGAGAGAGAGACTTTGGGATGAACTCCAGATAATTCCAGCTAAACCGTGGCGGGAAGTGGTGATCGGAGGGCTCGCCGGAATCTGCAGAAACTCGCCGGAAGTTGCAAAGATCCGGGAAAAAATAAAATAAAATAAAATAAAATGAGAGAGAGATAGCAGGGAAAACAAAATTAAAATTAAGGGGAGGTGAGAGAGAGAGAACCAAGTTTTGGTGTCTCGTGGGGTGGGGTGGGGTGAGGACGAAGTGGAGGCCGATGAGAGAGACTGAGATGTGGTTGGGATGAGGTGGGTCTGTGATGAGTGGGGCGATAAGAGAGACTGATGATATATATATATATATGTATATATACATATATATAGTATATAACATTAATTGTGAAATAGAAAGCAAAATCAAAATTATAATTATTAAACTTAGTTTCTAATTTTTTACTTTGAAAATACTAAAAGCATAAAAAGTTAGTAAACATAATTTTACTTTATATTTCATCTTTAGGAATGAAAAGTATGATTTTACTTTTAAAGAAAGTAAAAGTAAGAAAGTGAAAGCGTTAATAAACGGGCCCTAAAAGAATTATTTCAATATCTAAAAATAAATTCAAATTAAAAGGTATGAGAACTATAGGTTAATTTTTTCTCAAGCATAAAATTGCTCAAAATTGGTGAGACGTAGGACCAACCCGTCTTCTTTGTTTAGAGGGATGGGTGGCCGCGTTTGGTTCCAGCCTTTGACCTGGGCATATGTCGCAGGTGACAGAGGACCTATGACATTTGAGAGCGCTGATTGTATGGGCAACCTTGGCCCTTTTTATAGCTTTTGCCTGGAGGTCTTGGAGTAACATGGTCTCTATGTTGGCTAAACGTTCTCCCAGTTCCCGCTGGGTCTGTAGTAATGACTGTGAGGTGGACACATGTGGGTAAGAATATGTCGACTAAAATCGACTGATAGCCATTTCGGTGCGTCGGGGAGCAGCACTTTCGCCTTGGTCCGAGTGCTTTGACTGTGCTGGCTTATTGTTTAGGTCCATCGACTATGTACCGATGTCCCCAGCGAAGATGCCAAAATGTAAAGGTTCTTTATTACAATGATTATTACAAGTAACAGGGGTGATATCTAAATACAAAATATGATAAAAGATGAACAATAGCCTTACCAAAGAGGGAGAAAGGGAGAGATGCATTTTCGGCCCTTTCTTTATCTTCCCCTTTTATTCCTTTTATAGTTCCAGACCTTCGCTTTACTCTCAAGGGCTAAGAAGGGTGTACGGTTCGTGTGGGATGAACATTGTCAGGAAGCTTTTGATGAGCTGAAGACTAAGTTGACTTCTGCACCGGTTTTGTCTACCCCACAGAGCGGGATAGAGTATCTAGTTTACACGGATACTTCTTTGCAGGGTCTTGGATGTGTTTTGATGCAGGAGGAGCGACCGATTTCCTATGAATCTCAGAAGTTTAAGCCTCATGAGCTTAATTATCTAACACATGATTTGGAGTTGGCAGCGGTGGTCTTTGCCTTACGTATTTGGAGGTATTATCTGGTGGGTGAGTCCTTCAGATTATTTAGTGATCACAAGAGTCTACAGTATTTGTTCACTCAGCGGGAGTTGAATATGAGACAGCGCAGGTGGTTGGAGTTTGTCAAGGATTATCATTTTTCTATACAGTATCATCCAAGGAAAGCGAATATTAGTCGCCAACCTGTTGGTAGTCTTTCCGCTCTATTCACTACTGAGTGGAATGCGTTGAAGAAGGTGGATAAATTGTCAGATGCGTTCATGACTTGTATGGTAGTTACACCTTCTATCATTCACAAGGTTTTGAAAGCACAACTCACGAATCAGCAGTGCATTGACAAAGTTACAGAGATAGCTTCCAGAGAGGTTCCATTTTACTATGTTGGGGCTGATGGAGGTTTGAGGTACAAGGGACGGTTAGTGGTACCTTCTGCTGATAATTTGAGGAAGGATGTGATGACTGAGACTCACCACTCTGAGTTTTCTGTTCATCCAGGAGGCAACAAGATGTATCAGGATATGAAGCGGCAGTTTTGGTGGGCAGGTATGAGGAGGGACATTGCTCTATTTGTCTCATGATATAGTACTTGTCAGATGGTCAAGATTGATCATCAGAGGCCGCCAGGAGCTCTACAGCCACTGCCGATACCGGAGTGGAAATGGGAGAGCATTTCTATGAATTTTGTAGAGGGATTGCCCAACTCTTTCACAGGTCATAATTCTATTTGGGTCATTGTGGATAGGTTGACCAAATCAGCTCATTTCTTGCCTATTTGCACTGACTACACTTCGGAGCAGTGGACAAGGCTTTACATTTCAGAGATTGTGAAGCTGCATGGTATTCCATTGTCTATCATATCGGACAG